TGTGTGTGTGTTGGCTAAACGTAACCACGTGTGTGTGTTGGCTTAATGTAACCACGTGTGTGTGTGTTGACTAAACAAAACCATGTATGTGTGTTGGCTAAATGTAACCATGTGTGTGTGTTGGCTAAATGTAACCACGTGTGTGTGTTGGCTTAATGTAACCACGTGTGTGTGTTGGCTAAACGTAACCATGTATGTGTGTTGGCTAAATGTAACCATGTGTGTGTGTTGGCTAAACGTAACCACGTGTGTGTGTGTTGACTAAACAAAACCATGTATGTGTGTTGGCTAAATGTAACCATGTGTGTGTGTTGGCTAAACGTAACCACGTGTGTGTGTTGGCTTAATGTAACCACGTGTGTGTGTGTTGACTAAACAAAACCATGTATGTGTGTTGGCTAAATGTAACCATGTGTGTGTGTTGGCTAAATGTAACCACGTGTGTGTGTTGGCTTAATGTAACCACGTGTGTGTGTTGGCTAAACGTAACCACGTGTGTGTGTTGGCTAAATGTAACCACGTGTGTGTGTGTCGGCTAAACGTAACCATGTGTGTATGTTGGCTAAACGTAACCATGTGTGTATGTTGGCTAAACGTAACCATGTGTGTATGTTGGCTAAACGCAACCATGTGTGTTGACACGGCGTCCCAGAACGTCAACAACCAACACACCCGGGGTACCTTGGACCTTGAAAGTCCATGACCAAACGTGGACATGTGATGAGGTCGCACTGAGGATGGGATGGTTTATCTAGTCAACACAACATAAGTCCTCCAGGCCTGCAGTGAGTGAATCACTGCGTCCTAAAAGTTGTTAATTCACTAATCGCCAAATCTACAGTGATCATGAACTGTCATCATGTGAGCAAGCTTGAGACAGAGCAGTGGGAGGCGGGGTTAAAGTGCACTTGCTCTCTGGGCCTCACGACTGGAGATATGCAGCCACATTTGGTTTGAAGGGTTAGGGTTACAAACCGCGCCCACCTGCTGGTGGTAACGTGGAATAACTGAAAAATTATCTGCCTGGAAATAATGTGTTTTGCTCCACGCGCCACTGAGCAACAAACAAGGCCCTGCATCTGACACTGTAAACAGTTCTTTATACCTGTGTGGTCTGGTCTCTGTGTCAGGTCAGAATCAGGCTGTTCCTCTCAGTGCTCCCCCTACAGGCCTGGAGGACTTCTGTTGTGTTTCTCTGCTGCATTTGTTTTCAGGGTTTGTGTGTTTTTGACTTTCTGTATTCGCAGCTTGTTTGCTGTTAATGTTCTGTTTATTTTCTGCAGCACATGTTTTCATTTGCAGCACAGTTATGTTGTTTTATTTGCTCTGAATATTTCTGTGTGTTTTATAACTGGTATCTTCTCTGCAGCTGCAGCGTCTCTCCTGATGGAAATATTTTGGGTTGCTGTGGTGCGTTTGCCGTGTTCGGCCTCCGTCAAACACACAGATGAACACACTCCTGTAAGGATACTGTAACATGTAACCATAAACTGTGAAGGTATGAGAGGAGAACATGGAGGTATGTGGCACTGAACGAGCTGACAGGATCAAACAGAGGTGAAACAGGGAGTTCTGGACGGTCCTGTTCTTCGGCAGAGAGATGCTGTCTGTCCACGTTTGGAAACATTTCCCATGGCTCTCATCTCTCTTTCTCACGCCACTTCCCACATTTCCAGTGCTTCACCTGTAAGAATGTTCTTATCGGATACAAAAATCAAAACAGTCGGTATTTCTCCTTTTTGCTTCCGTACAGTTTTGCATTGAAAAATATGTTGTTGTTGTTTTTTAATCCTCATTTCTTTTTTTCTTTTTTTTCAAACTCCAGACGTCTTTTTTGTGGATCCAGAACTCGTCTCCGTCCGTAGCTACATGTGTTGGGCATCCATTATGTCCAAGTATTTGGCCTCAATGATATGAGGAAGCACGTTGTTCCTAGACACAGAGCAGACACAATCGACGTCAGTGGTTAAACCAGAACAAAGGAAGCAGAAGCCCACAGCATCACAACGTCAGATCTTATCACACAAGATTTATCACTTCCTGCTCGGCTGTTCCAGCGAACAAGAGATCCAATCAGAGATACAGCGGCTGTTCATGTATGTGTCTGCACAGTGGCACCAGAGATCTGGGTGGGAAAAGGCTGCGTTTACAGAATCTCAGCTGAAGAATGATACTCTGCACTCGAAAAGTTCAAGTCGGCTTTAAAGCTCCAGTGTGAAGGGTTTAAATATGATATAATGTAATCGTGTTTCTTTAATCAGAATGGTTGTGTTCTTGTTCCCTCAGAATGAGACGTTTATATCTACACAGGGAGCAGGTCCTCGTCTACAGAGATCACCATGTTGCACCGTCATGTTTCTACAGTAGCCCAGAACGGACAAACCAAACACTGACTCTAGACATGTTTCTGATATGAATGTAATGATTAAATGATATATTTTGGTGGTTTGAGTTGAAGGTGTGAGAAAGAATAGTATCAGTAACATTGTTAACACTGTGCTACATTACAGAGAAATACAAACCGTACTAATGAACCTTCATTAATATAGGCCTATATTTTATCTCCAAGTGCACGTCACACACTGAGCGAGCCGCCTGTTAATGACGCTGTGGGCTAATGGGCATGTAGCTACTTCCATGTTTCAGATGATACGTCATGTTTGTAGTCGACCAATGAAGATGAGTTTACATATCACCTTGGGTTCGTCCTTCACCTTCTCAAAATGATCCCACACTTTGGATTTCCTGCCCGACATGTTATTAACTAGCCTGTGGAATAACCGCAGGTACCAGCCCTGGAGATTAACCTGACGAGGACACTTCCTGTGTCTGTCCTTTCACATTAAACTCCCACATGGTCCAGCCATATAGGTTTGGGTTTATTTTGACAAGGTGCAGCTCCTCATAGAGTTTCATGTTTTTTTTTTCTATGACTAAGCAACCAATGAAATCTTGCCGATTAATGACCTTTCTGGTCGACTAATGTTTGGTCAACTGTTACGGGGCAACCCTAATACTGACAAAAGCCAAAAATGGCATGTGCCAAAAAATATTCGGCATACAATCAGGCTTCCACCTCACCATTTGCGTCGCCTATTTCCTGTCTCCAAAATGCTGGTAAGCCACGGTCAAAGTTTCTCCCATCAAGGCTGTTTTTATAGACCACAACTTTTGCGTGTGAAGTGGCATACGCCTCTTTCAGGCCTCATTTTGTGTGTACGCAGTGTTTATGAATGAGACACCAGGTCCATTTCTTTTGCAAAGTTTGTGAATCTCTTAATTTGAATACAGAGCAAAGACAAGATATTAAATGTTCAAACTGAGAAAACGTTATTGCATTTGAGTTTGACGGCTTCAACACATTCTAATAAAGTCGGGTTTTGTACTTGATAAATAAAGTTTACTTGCCTTCTTTAAAGTTTCCAAGTGCAAAGCATCATTTTTAATTCACTAGTTTGATGCAGCAAAGAAAGTCAAGGAGAGTGTTTCTTAAATTATTCTGTGAATGTACAAATATCATATTTAATGCACTGCGCCCATCTGCTGCTCGTCCTGCAGCCGCTGAGACCGAGCTGCAGATGAACCGCAGCGTGTTTCTGTCTCAGCTGAACCGCCAGATGTTTCCAGCTGAAGACACATTAAACATTGTGATAACATTAAAAAATGCAATTAAGAAATTAAATTAAGATTAATTAAGAAGACTGGAATTGACAACTTTATTCCCCATGACGCTGCTGCTCAGACAGATCAACAACACAAATACATCCACAGACTTCACTGATCTCAGGTCAGGCACGCTGCTGAACGTCTTCCTGGTTTAAATCACAGGAGAAAATGTTTTCTGGGACAAAATGTCGGTGGTCGTACCTGATTGGAATCAGCATGATCATGAGCAGAGGGAAGATCATCTTCATGTACGGTATCGGGTACATGCCGAAGGTGCAGAGGACCAGCAGCTGCATCATCTGCAGGAAGGTGAAGTAGTGGATCTTCCTCTGGGGCACTTTGCGGATGTAGTGGGTAGGCGGGTAAGACGTCTGCAGGAGGTGAGAGGATCAGGACAGATTAAAATACAATCTACCCTGAGGCGCTCCTCCTCACTGTCCTCAGGTGTCCTGCTGTCTCAAAGAAATGACTCAGGGAAGTGGACGGCCCACACACTGAGGGTTTCACATCGTAAATAACGTTTAGCTTTCAGTGTTACAGAGTGTATTTATAGCGCGAGGGTCTCCTGTGTGAGGTGGTTCAGGAGCTGCTGATATTACTTTCAACCTGCGCTCGATAAGACTTTCATGTAAAAATACACCTGTCTCTCCAGTCTGAGCGGAGCTGCAAAGACAAACCTGCCCCCCCAACTGATCTGGTGTCAGCTACAAACATCTCCAACAACACCAGCTGATAAATCAATAAATACCTCAAACCTCTGCTGATAAATCTACGTCACAATCCTGGTAAGTGCAGATTCATAAACCAGTAAGACTTTATTGATCCTCGAGAGGAAAATGTGATTCATGACAGTCGCTGTGATGTAAAGAAATAGAGACATATACGAAGTAAGCATAAGAGTATGAAATACAAGTGTGTAAATATAAAGTAATAAAATAAAGTAGACATAAAAATGAGTATTATTCTATATCCTGTGTCTTGAACCTGTGTCTTCATGGACTCTCTGTAGGGATGGAGGTGTAAATAGCTGAAGAGCTTCAGTGTGATAATTCTCACATGAATGCAAATTTACACTCTGTTAAAAGAGTTTGTGGCAGTTAAGATCTCACAAATAAACATTTAAGACTATTTAATGACTTTTAAAGGCCTGATATTTAAAAAATTGAATTTAAGACTTTTTCAGGACTCCCTGAGGAGTAAATAAACATGTGTCATGAGACTGAAGCCTCTTGTTAAAGCTGTGGTTTGGACATTTTAAGAGTTTGAAAAAGAGCAAAGATGAGAGTCCCCTCACTCGGCTGGTCCTGATGCTCAGTTCTGTCTCAGGACCAAATCAATTAGAGTCAAACAAATTATAACACCAGAAACACACAAACAGAAGCACAAAGCAGAATGCAGCATGGTTCTGAAAACACAGTACAGTGTGACAGATGAACCTACCACAGTGACTGACATTAACACAGAACTACCCTGACAAAGTACAGACTCAGTGAGCACGACTTGGCCATCAAGATGATACAAACAATCATGGCTCCCTTAGGAGGAGCGATTCTGCCGGCTGTGCAGGGAAGACAAAGTGGAGACAGAGCTGCACTTCCTAACAGAATGAACAAAACTCTAGCCTGTCCAAACAAAATATCTCCCCAAATTCAAACACAAACATCCTGAATCTGCCCATAAAACTGGAATAAATAAATGACCAGTCCTGTTGGGAGAGCACACAAAGAGCTGTGGTGTAGCAGCAGAGTCTTTATCTGCCTTCAGCTATCAGGCTCCTCTCCTGTGGAATAATCTTCCTGTTTCGGTCCGGGAGGCAGACACCGTCTCCACATTTAAGACTAGACTTAAGACTTTCCTTTCTGATAAAGCTTATAGTTAGGGCTGGCTCTTATAATTAGGGCTGGCTCTTATAGTTAGGGCTGGCTCTTATAATTAGGGCTGGCTCTTATAGTTAGGGCTGGCTCTTATAGTTAGGACTGGCTCTTATAGTTAGGGCTGGCTCTTATAGTTAGGACTGGCTCTTATAGTTAGGGCTGGCTCTTATAGTTAGGACTGGCTCTTATAGTTAGGGCTGGCTCTTATAGTTAGGGCTGGCTCTCATAGTTAGGACTGGCTCTTATAGTTAGGGCTAGCTCTTATAGTTAGGACTGGCTCTTATAGTTAGGGCTGGCTCTCATAGTTAGGACTGGCTCTTATAGTTAGGGCTAGCTCTTATAGTTAGGGCTGGCTCTTATAGTTAGGACTGACTCTTATAGTTAGGGCAGGCTCTTATAGTTAGGACTGGCTCAGGCTTGTCTTGGATTCCCTAATCTACTTTGTCTTTACCACCCTCCTGGGATAGATGACATCACTGTGGGGTCTAATTGCCTAAGACTTTTCACATTTCTCATACTTGTATGCACATGTAAATAAATATTCTTTTCTCTCAGAGCGAGTCTCTCCTGATTGAATTATGTTGATCTGTTCTGTGCGCACAACACTGTCTTCCTTCCCTGGAAGAGGGATCCCTCCTCAGTGTCTCTTCCTGAGGTTTCTACCATTTTTGGGGAGTTTTTCCTGATCAGCTGTGAGGGATGTCTGCTGTAAAGCCTCTGAGACAAATTGTGAGTTGTGATGTCGAGCTTTATATATGAAATTGAATTGAATTGTCACACTCTGAAGAACAGAGTGACTCTCTTAAACACACACATGCTGTTTGTCACTATTATTATTATTTTATATTGTTGCTGATATCTATCAGTGAGTCGAAGCTTGCATTAGATATTATTGTTGACATGGTTTTTGCTTTTGCAATAAAATGTTAATATAATGTTTTATTGTTTGAATTCATAAAATATAGACTGCTCTTTCCCCGTTAGTTCCACCTGATATGATGAGCTTTAGCAACACTATGTTCCAGTATGGTCATGACTGAATTGAGCTTTACTTTCATGTTAAATACTGTGATGTTGAATGAACCTTCGCTCTGACATCACTCTGCACAGTGAGGCTCAAACATCCAACTGAAGTCACAAAAAGCAAAATACATTTTTCAAGGTTGACACGGCTGCGTTCTCATTCACATACTTTTCTTGTTACTTTTAGTAGCAGCTGCCCTTAAAAAGGTGGTACTGTTGTCTCATAACATTACACCCTGAACTTTGACCCTCCTGCTTTTATATCCGATACCTTGGAGATAAAATAAACGCCACTTACTGAGTTCGCCAGAGATGTGGGTCAACTCTGAGAGCTCTGCTGTTGTTACTTTGTGATGTATGTGATTTAACTTTAAAGTTCTGACTGCACAGACTGTACACTCTGACATTTTATATCTGTGACAGTGAAATAACAATAATATGGTATTGCGGGGATTGAAATGCACAGCATATATTTTTTGAACAGTTCCTCTTGCAGCCATTTGGAGGCGCCAGTGTGTGTGAGGAGAACAGTTGGAGGGAAGATGGCAAGTGTTGCTTCCAGTAGGAAGGTTAAATCGGACACACAGGAGAGGAGATCTCTGTGAGAAGTATTGTGCAGATATGATTTAATGTTTTAATCTGACTATTTTAAAGGTTCATTAGTAGAAGAAGACGTCTGTCAGAAATCATCTCTATGTGGCTGATACCAGAATAATGATGTTCATTTAGGATCTGATCCGTCCGATTTTCACCTGAGCACATTATCACAAACACACAGAAAAAAGATATTTGCAAGTATTATTTGCCGGAGGTCTGGTCCTCCAGCGGCAGGCAGCCAGTCAACCGTTTGATCTGCAGAGCCCTGCGATCGACATCTGCTCACACACACACTCACCTGCTCCTTGAGGAGGAGAGCCATGCGGTCGCACATCTGGTTTCCATCGATGGAGGTGAGGGCGATGTAGAGGAAGAGGCCGTACAAGACGGGTTTGGGGATCCACTGCAGCGGGAGAGGAAGCAGCAGCACCGACACGCCGATGAAGATGTTGGCAGTCAGAGACGTCAGCCGGGTCTCTTTCACCTGGACGATACTGAGGACACACACACACACACGCACACACACACACACACACACACACACACACACAAACACAATAACACACAGCGATGAATGGTTACTGGAGAGCTCACAATGCTTTCATACAATGAAACAGATATTTTTCTCTCCAGGATTTTCTTATCGGTCGTGCTGCACATTTGCCATTTGAAAGATTCTTTTGAGGGGAAAATAAAACAAAGTTTTAGTGATCGTTTGTCCTTTGACCTTAATAAACAGATGAAGAGACTCTCTGACTGACTCTGATCCCACACAGTCAAAAACTTCTTTCACTTAAGATGGATGAGCCCAGTGGTTCCCAACAGGTGCAGCCACAGTCACTGATTCAAGGTCTGTGCATCATACTTGAGTTTGGCTTTGTTGTCGAGCTAGTTTGGTGTCTCTGACGAGAAGGTGTCCATTAGTCACTCATTAGTCTGCGGCTCATTCAGAACAGATCCGACCCACCAGTTGGCAACCACTGATGTAGCCTATGCAAAAGGCCTACATTGTTGTGAGCATTTACATATATGTGTTGGTGTGTCTGTGTCGCTCTGCAGTTACACCTCCAAAACACTAGTCAGCGGTGAAGTTCCTACAGTGGTGCTGGAAAGAATGACTGACTCAAAACACAAACAAAACCAGGAGCTTGCTTCTTGCTTCCTGTCTGAATGTTGAGCCGAAACATGATGTTTTTTCTAAACCTAACCACGTGTGTTTATTACATAAAGAAATAAATGTACATATGAGTTGCTGTGTGACATTGTTAAAACAGAACTGCACATTTCCTGTGAAAATGGAAGTTTATTCTGAAAAGACTTGATGCATCTGATGAGCGTAAATTACCAGGCAGCCCCAGGACATCAACAGCAGACCCAGGAGGAGACCTTGCGTCATATGTAGACGTGAAAGTCCACTGACTGAATGGCGATATGTGACGAGGTGGGACGAGAACAGATCGGCAAAAATATCTATTGATAAAATCTGTGTACAGACAGCTCCTCAGAAAAACCACAGTAGAATGATTCTTTCTCAAGTGAACCATGATGCTTCTGTAGTTCTGTAGTTCTGCTACTGACAGGTGCTCCATATGTAGCTGTTAACATATTACAAAAGTTGGGAACTAACAACTTTCAATGACCACACGTTTGTTCAGTTTGACAGAAAATCAGATATGTAAATTTGAGATATTCATTTCCAGACATATACATCCTTTCAAGAGCCCTAAATGACACAATTCTCTCCAATCAATATCTGTAATTAGATCTGCTGCTCTTCTGGAAGATTGCCCCCCCCGCGGGGCCCCCCCATCACTCCTCAGGATTCCTGCATATCTGTGAACTCTAACGAAACGCTCTTGTCTGTGAGCCGCCGCCGCCTCACCTCGTCCCCCCGGAGAGAAAATGCTGCGTTACATAGTAATCATGCAATCAGCCGAGAGCAGGATACAGTAGCCACATGCTCTGAAGACGACCTTTAATTGAGCGTCTGATTAGCACCGGCGATGAGAGGGCGGGAAACTCACGTCTCATAGAGGTGCCCCCCCTCCACGCGCTGCTCCACAAAAGCCAGCTGCCGCACATGAAGGGTGGAGTGGGGGAAGGCGGCGTGCATCCAGGGCAACCCCAGCACCGACATCAGTATGTTAATGAGCCCAGAGAGCATTAGGTCCCAGTGATAGGCCGTGCCCTTCAGCAACCTGAGGAGAGACACAACTGTGACACCCAGCCCGCGGCACAGCAACAACAACAACAACAACACGCCACATCACAACACCAAGAAACACATCTGCACCAACACACAGAGAAAACAACATTTGCATACAGTAATATTTTGAAGTGAGCACAAGTGACAGAAGTCAACACACACACACACACACACACACAGATACACACACACACACACACACAAATACAAAGGGCATCGTCCTCCTAAGGTCAGCGGTGCCCTTCAACACAACCTGAATAAACTCGCTTAGATGTTTCACTGATTCTTCTCATTCAACATCTGAAAAACATCCATGTAAAGAATCAACATGCCACCGACAGTGATGTCACACGGCGTCGCCATGTTACGGTAACGTTACAGAAAAGGATGATGTGACCTTTATTTTTCTGCACGTTAGCGAGAGATCACTCCTGTGCATCTTCCCTGTCTGTCCAGCTTTACTGTCTACAGCAATTTATATAAATAATAACAGAGACAAAATAAACCTGGAAAAGTCTCACTAAGTTTTATTTGCACCTTTTTTCCATCAGCCAAAAGACACCAGTAATTATTAACTTAAAAGATTGATATTTTAAACTAATATATTGTGACAGATTAAAAGCAGAGACGAGGAAACAAGAAGAATAAAAAGAGCAAAGCAGGAGCAGAAATAACCAGGAACTGTTTCCATCTTCAGTTCTATTGTCAGAGACTCGACAGGAGAGCTGGAGTTAAAGGTTAAATCCACAAAACACTGTTTACAGAGCTTTTTATAGGTGTTACATCATTTTCATTCTTTAGTTAATTAAAAATATTTAATTTATTTTTGTTTGGATAGAGTCAGTAATATCACAGTTATGGAAAGACATTTCTGCCAGTGTAATGAAAAATAAAAAGATCCTGTAAGTTATTATAATGAGAATAATAATGAGTTAGTATTTCAAATAATGAGGTAGTCTCTAACAATACTGACAAATTTTTCCAAAATAATGAATTAGTTCCTCATAATAATGAGAAACTTTCTCAAAGCAATTATTTTATTTCAAAATAATTATAAACATTTTGAAAAATTATGAGTTAGTTTCTCAAAATAATGAGTTAGTATCTCAAAATAAGTTAGTATGAGATATTATTTCAAACTAATAAGTTAATATCTCAAACTATTGAGTTAGTATCTCAAAATAATGAGTTAGTATCTCAAAATAAGTTAGTATGAGATACTATTTCAAAATAATGAGTTAATTTCTCAAACTAATGCGTTAATATCTCAAACTATTGAGTAAGTATCTCAAAATAATGAGTTAGTATCTCAAAATAAGTTAGTATGAGATATTATTTCAAACTAATGAGTTAATTTCTCAAACTAATGAGTTAATATCTCAAAATAATGAGTTAGTATCTCAAAAGAATAAGTTAGTATGAGATACTATTTCAAAATAATGAGTTAATTTTTCAAACTAATGTGTTAATATCTCAAACTATTGAGTAAGTATCTCAAAATAATGAGTTAGTATCTCAAAATCAATTAGTATGAGATATTATTTCAAACTAATGAGTTAATTTCTCAAACTAATGAGTTAATATCTCAAACTAATGAGTTAGTTTCTCAAAATAATGAGTAGGGATGTCCTGATCCAGCTTTTTCACTTCCGATCTGATACCGATATCACAGCCTTGAGTTTTGGCCGATACCGATACTGATCTGATCCAAGCGCGTATTATACATATTCACTTATTTTGTTGTCAGTCATGTTAGAAAAGGTCTGATCAAGCAATATTACTCTAACAAGAACAACTACTTAATCGGGCTAGTTAGAATGATCCACAACAGCTGGTATGAGAAACTGACCCATTTATTGTTAACAGGGTTAAATAAACAAACTTTAAACTTGAACATTAACATTAAATAAAAAATATAGCTGGTTTGCTTTGGCTGCTTTGGCCCCTTAATAAATAGAAAATAAGTCAACACAAGAAATCTTTAAAATGTCTAACAATGAAATTAAAATAGCAGCAAGACTTCACACACTTGTGCTTTGGCCCCCTAATAAATAAAAAATAGATTAACACCACAAGACATTGTTGACATTTAACAAACAATGCAGACTTTCCTTTTCAGTTATATTTATAGTGTCAGTGCCAGCCTGGTGCTGCTGTTTCCTGGGACCAACAGAGGGGACAAAAAAACCACACACAATATTGTACAACTGTTTAAACAAGCAATAGTCCATCCATGGCTCCAGTTTCACTAACTGTGCCCAAAACAATGCCATCAGTGCTCTTTACTTAAACAGTAAGAGTGTAAACCAAATAAAAATATCACTCTCAAAAAACCAGAGCAGAAAACAAATAGTCAGTTAACTAAACTGACCGCTACTCTTCCTACCCTCCGTGTGTGTCTGCCCTGCATGCTGGCCTGGTGGATCAATAGTAAGAGCTGGAGCGGATCACTGGAATGGACTGCTTGACTCGCGGAGTGCTGGGCTGGCCGGAAAACCTGGAGCGGATTCCGTGAAAAACTGGATCGGAGTTCTTGGATCGGCATTTTTCCATGCAGTCCAATCCGATGCCTGTTTTTTGCTAGTATCGGCGGCCAATACCGATCCGAATATCGGATCGGGACATCCCTAATAATGAGTTAGTATCTCACAATAATATGTTAGTATGAGATACTATTTCAAAATAACGAGTTAATTTCTCAAACTAATGAGTTAGTATCTCAAAATTATGAGTTAGTTTCTCAAAATAATAAGTTAGTATGAGATATTATTTCAAAAAAATGAGTTAATTTCTCAAACTAATGAGTTAATATGTCAAACTATTTAGTATCTCAAAATTATGAGTTAGTATCTCAAAATAATAAGTTCGTATGAGATACTATTTCAAAAATAATGAGTTGATTTCTCAAAATTATGAGTTAGTATCTCAAAATAGTGAGTGAGTATCTCAAAATTGAGTTAGTATCTCAAAAATAATGAGTTAGTATCTCAAAATTATGAGTTAGTATCTAAAATAATGAGTTAGAATCTCAAAATTATGAGTAAGAATCTCAAAATTATGAGTTAGTATCTCAAAATAATGAGTTAGAATCTCAAAATTATGAGTTAGCATGTCACAAAAATGAGTCAGTATCTAAAATAATGAGTTAGTATGTATGGAAGCCCATTTCCGCCACTTGATGGAAAAAAAATAAGATCTAATAACTCAAAATAATGAGATACTATCTCAAAATAATGATACTAACTCAAAAAATAATGGGATACCAAGTCAAAAATAACTAGATACTATCTCAAAATGATGAGATACTAAGTCAAAAATGATGAGAAACTATCTCAAAATAATGAGATACTAAGTTGAAATAATGAGCTGCTAAGTCGAAATAATGAGATACTATCTCAAAAATAATGAGATACTATCTCAAAATACCGAGATACTAACTCAAAAATAATGAGATACGAATTCAAAAATAATGAGATACTATCTCAAAAAATAATGATACGAAGTCAAAAGTAATGAGATACTAAGTCAAAAATAATGAGATACTATCTCAAAATAATGAGATACTATCTCAAAATAATGAGATACTAAATCAAAAATAATGACTTGGATTGTCGAAGGCTGTAACTGTACTCACTGACCTCATTATTGGACTTGGTATCTCATTATTTCGACTTAGTATCTCATTATTTTGAGATAGCTTCTCATTATTTTTGACTTAGTATCTCATTATTCCGACTTAGTATCTCATTATTTTTTGAGATAGTATCTCATTATTTTTGAGATAGTATCTCATTTGTTCCATCAAGTGGTGGAAATTGGCTTCCATAAGTATGATTTAGTATTTCAAAATGAGTTAGTATCTCAAAATACTGAATTAGAATTATAAAATAATAAGTCAGTACCTCACAAAAATGAGTTAGTATCTCAAAATAGTGAGTATCTCAAAATTGAGTTAGTATCTCAAAATAATGAGTTAGTATCTCAAACTAATGAGTTAGTATCTCAAAGTTATGAGTTAGTATCTAAAATAATGAGTTAGAGTCTCAAAATTATGAGTTAGTATCTCAAAATAATGAGTTAGAATCTCAAAATTATGAGTTAGCATGTCACAAAAATGAGTCAGTATCTAAAATAATGAGTTAGTATGTATGGAAGCCCATTTCCGCCACTTGATGGAAAAAAAATAAGATCTAATAACTCAAAATAATGAGATACTATCTCAAAATAATGATACTAACTCAAAAAATAATGAGATACCAAGTCAAAAATAACTAGATACTATCTCAAAATAATGAGATACTAAGTCAAAAATAATGACATACTAAGTCAAAAATGATGAGAAACTATCTCAAAATAAGATACTAAGTCGAAATAATGAGCTGCTAAGTCGAAATAATGAGATACTATCTTAAAAATAATGAGATACTAAGTCAAAAATAATGAGATACGAAGTCAAAAATATTGAGATATTATCTTTAAAAAAGAGATACAAAGTCAAAAGTAGAGATACTAAGTCAAAAATAATAAGAAGCTATCTCAAAATAATGAGATACTAAGTCAAAAATAATGAGATACTATCTCAAAAATAACGAGATACTATCTCAAAAATAATGAGATACTAAGTCAAAAATAATGAGAAGCTATCTCAAAATAATGAGATACTGAGTCAAAATAATGAGATACTGAGTCAAAATAATGAGATACTAAATCAAAATAATGACTTGGATTGTCAAAGGCTGTAACTGTACTCACTGACCTCATTATTGGACTTGGTATCTCATTATTTCGACTTAGTATCTCGTTATTTTGAGATAGCTTCTCATTATTTTCGACTTCGTATCTCATTATTTTTTTTGAGATAGTATCTCAATATTTTTGAGATAGTATCTCATTTGTTCCATCAAGTGGTGGAAATTGGCTTCCATAAGAAGTATAGTATATAGTATTTAGAAGTATATAGAAGTATATGATATAGTATTTCAAAATGAGTTAGTATCTCAAAATACTGAATTAGCATTATAAAATAATAAGTCAGTACCTCACAAAAATGAGTTAGTATCTCAAACTAATGAGTTAGTATCTCAGAATAATTAGAAACGTTTTCAGAATAATGAGTTCACAGCTCAATACAATGAGAAACTTGTTCATGATTCTGTCAAAGTCTCATTTTAATGACTCACAGGATCTTTTTCTTTATGTCACACTTGCATTAATAAGCCTTCATATAACAGTACGACATAAGGAACATTTTAATCTTATAAAATAACGTTTCACAGATAATTCTTCTTGGAAACCTGACTATTTTTTAGACTATAGCAGCTGTTGTTTTGCCTCCTGGTGAGTTCTTCCTCGTTTGGAACAGACATTTAGATCCAATTAATTTCTGCCCAACAAATGTAGATGATAAGGGTTGAGACTCCATCATTATAGATTGTCACTGTGGGGCTGGTTGATGGCTGATGGCTCTAAAGTGGTCTCTCCAATGCAAATTTAGAGGAACAGGGTAAAAGCTCAACGTCGTGTTTTGGCTGCGAGGCTTCTTCAGAGCTCCCTGACTGTGACAATTTGACTCAGATGTCAAGTTTCTGGCTCAGTTAATCTTCCCCCCTAACAGATCGGCAAATATCCCGTTTCAGCAGATCCCAAAGGTCCTCGCTGGCTTTTTGAAGGGTCATGGAAAGAGTTTAAGCCAGTTAATGCACAAAAATTAGAAGCATCCCGGGATTCACCCTCCCTAATACAATCCCTTCTGACAGCACTGACAGTTTAATAACTGTAAATAAAATCATAACAAAGATTAAAAAGACTCCGTCTGTACATGAACTAATCTTTGCCTCTACCTGTTCTCCGGAGCGTTGGTCAACGAGACAACAATGTTTTGGTCGATGAAGATAAGGAGGGCCAGGAGGAAGCCGAGGCCCATGGCGCTGACCACGTTCATGGCCGACAACCGCTCAAATGGAGCCACGTTGAAGACGGGCCGGTCGTGAACTTTAAAGACTGGAACTGTTCACAGAAAGAGAGAAATGAATCACAACCACAGCTGAAATAATCAGTCAGTAAATCACTCAGTCAGAAGATAAATGGAAACGAGTCTGGTAATCTGTTAATCACTGCAGTTATTTCTCAAGACCAAAGACAAAATATCAGCTGATTGTCAGATGTGAGGATCTGCTGTTTGTCCTTGTCTAACTGAAGTTAAATACCTTTGAGTGTTGGAGTGTTAGTTGTACAGAACAACCAACATCTGAGGCACAAAACTACACAGATACTAATCAAGAAAGTAGTGTCAGCATGACGCCTTAATCACAATGAATTAAGGTCCACATTGTTTTTCTCTTTTTAATTTGCATGCGGCCATTTGCTGCGTGCTGCTACTTCGAGTTTGAGCCAATGAGCTGAGCATACAAGTGAAGCTAAGTAGACTGACCACATCACCAAGGACAGAAATCACTAATGTTATTTTGGAGTGAGTGAATCACCACCGACCTGTGGAGGAAATGAAATGTAGTTCACAACAGTGTTCCTAAATGAGTGGAAACTGACTGCAGACCTGCATATAAAGTCCTGTGTGTGATTTATCCTGGCTTCATATGAGAAAAGAAAAACTCTGCTAGCTGCTAGGCTAATTTATTCAATATAAAATGCCATAGACTTGTGCTAATAACGTTGGCATGTGGTATTTGCGGTATACAGCAAAACACAAGTGTCTGTCTGTGAATCTTGTGAGTTATAAAGAAGCTGATTTGTGTTTGAAACTGTTTCTATTTAGTCATGTCTAATGTGTGTGGCCACGTTATCAACTGACTGTGCATGTCCGCATTTCATACTGACGTGACAGGTGGCCGACTGGCGGTGTATCGTAACATCACGAAGGTTCCTGGCTTCATATGAGTAAAGGAAAACTCTGCTAACCACTAGGCTAATTTATTCAATGTAAAATGCCATAGGCTTGTGCTAAGAACATTATCACGTTGTGGGGAAAAATGTGTCGGGGGATCGATATAGCATAGTATTGCGATATTTTTGTGTGGCAGTATCGTATCATTACATGTACACCAAGAGTTGATTTTTTTATTATATAAATTATCAATATAACAAATAGAAATTAAACTTTAGGTAGCCTATGAGATGAATATCATCAGTTCCTTTTCCAGTTCATGAGAAACACTTTGCTGCAATAAAAAAATGACTGAAGTGAGATGAATAGCCTGAAATCTTGACATAGTTTCCTTTGGGAATAGAATTTGCAGCTAAAAAAGGTAATAAATCGCAATATATTCTAGTGCAATACTCGCAAATTGCAATAATATTGTATTGTGATAATATTGTATCGTGGGGCCTCCGCAGAGTGAAGCGGTTCATGGTTTCAGACCTCACTGTTGCAACAGAGCAGCTCTGATTTAAAAGTCAATTTATTTGCATTCATTTGATTCCCAATCAAAGCACTTCACCTCGTTAATATGAACTTCAGAAGTGTCTGGAAATGCAAAATAATGGAATTTTAAACATTCCATTAAAAATGCCAATAACTGCAATTCACTACTGAAATTCAGAGCTGATTTGTGATTTTAAAAAAATATCATTTGACAGACCGACTGCAGAGTAACTGATAATTAATACATACAGCTGTGAGTCTGATTCAACAGTGAGCTCTTCCTCTGATGAACGTGTCCTTACTCTGTTGGATAACAGTATCTGAGGACATGACCTGCTCGATCACAGCTGAGTTACAAACATCAGGTTTTAAGTGGACATTAAAAGGTGACAGGAAAACGACTTTGTGAAGAATTTTTGCCTAAAATTCACCATCAGCACTTCCCAAGCTCGTCAGAGTCCATCTCCTCAAGCATAACTGTCTCTCAAACTGTTTTGATGACTCGCGTTTTCACACCGAGAATCGTTTTCTGACAGCGGCTGTTTTTTTTTTCTCAAGCGCTGAAGATCTCATTTAGGACGGCGTCCTCTCAAACACTGCTGAATTAAGTGCAGTTGGTTAAATTTAGGTAGAAATGACAATACAATAATGGGCCTATTATCTTATGACTTATTGTCTCTGGAGGTAAAGGAACAGAAAATTGGCCGGGCACTTAAATTTAAATTCACTTGAGGGTTTGGCGCTCGTCTCTGTGTTTCTGTGTCGACCCCTGGAGAACAGCTGCTGCCTTGGCAACGATGAATGGAGACTGAAAATGATGCGAAACAATAGAGGATAAAAACTGAAAATCTCCAATGTGTTTTGGCCTGTGCCTTGATTAAGGAACATAAAAAGACAATAAAGCCAGCAAACAGGGGAGGCCTCGCAGTTACACCGTCTGTCTTAGAAGGGAACGAGCTGTAAGTTTGAGCCCTTCGGCAGATTTGGACCAGAGTCTAAATCCCCAAAGTGTAAATACACCCCAAACAGTACTGTGCAGTCAGACAGTGACAGCTGACGACCAACCAACAACAGCATTTTTCATATTTAATGTCATTTTTGAAACAAACAGGCGCCGTGCTTTGATCCACATATTTTTGTTTCTTACAGCAGGGAGCCAAACTGACTGTAACATTACCTAAATACTCAAAATGACAGGCCTGAACAATAAACCAGTCGTTCTCACTCCTACATGTCGATGATTTTGGTGTCAGACATCAACGCACAGAGGCACCTGTGCAGTGTTTGATACATATTGGTCAGCATCTGTTTCTGATGCTGCCGACCACGACCTCACTTCTCAAATTCTGCCACTTTGTCAGTAAATGTCAGCACCAGACACGACGCACCAAGACACTCTTTGCGGCGGTGTGATATGCACCAAGTGGCAACTATTTCTGACACTGGCAACTACTGCAGTATAATGAGCAAGAACCGTGGATGGGACGAACAACTCCAGTCTTTCCCCCTGGGAGCTCGTAGTTCGTTTCCTGTGTGAAAACTAAAGTCAGTGGAGTTTTTTAGTAACATGGTAGAGTGCTAGTATCATGGTAGCGTGCTAAGAGAACTGGATACAACATTGGCGGCAGGATCCCGTTCATTCAAGTTGCTCAGAGGAGCATGAAGCCAAAAAGATCTGTGTTCACGGTATGAAATAACCCTGATGATCGGCGCTGCTTCCACATCACTGGGCCCATAGAGCAGACGAGACTTCCGCTGACTCCCAGTTTAGCGCTTCCCTAACTTGAATGGAGATTGAAAAAGAATAAATCTAATCTTGTGGCTGCTCCAAAATTTTTGAAATGTTATCGGACCAAATTGATTAAATCTTGATAGTAGAACGAGTCATTTCATTAGTTGTGATACTTGAAAAAATGTATTCATTGATTTACAGACATCTCTAAGTCAATGGAAAACAGTCTTTTTGGGCCCAGCGGCATCACGTGAAAGACCCTGGAAATTGCAGTACCACTGTTTGGCCACTACGAAAATTGACATACTTTCCGGGGGCCTGGTTAGTATGTGTAGCATGCTACACTAGTGACAAATGTCACATGACTTTATATTATGTTAGCAACAACCACACTTATTTCAGGCTAAACCACAATGCATTTCCTAAACCTAAACACAGGCTTTTGTTGCCTAAACTGAAGGAAATAAATGTAAAAAGTAAAGTGTTTTACATAGTATGTTTATTTTGAAAACACATAATGCATGTATGCGTAAATTGAGACACCATCTGTGAATGTCCAAAATCAACGAATAAGGCTACCTAGCACATCATATTGTGACGTTACAGTCCGCTGACAAAGCCGCCGTATTTGATAAGATGGAAGGAGAATGCAGCGAATAAACCCACCTTCTGTTTGTTTAAATGGACATTTAAAGGAGAGTTGACTCCCAAATAAAAAATACATATTTCTCCTCTTTCCTGTAGAGCGGTTTATCAAATTGGTGCAAGTTGCTGAGTGTTGGAGATATTGGCCGTAGAGGGCCAAAAAATGTCTGTTTCCAGAAATCCTGACGAAGTTACTGGAGATAATCCACAGACCTCGTTATGAGCAGTTTCATGTAGAGCTATTTTTTGTCTACACCCACCAACTGAATAACCGCGCAGATTTTTAAATGGATTTTTGGGGATTTACATCTAGTTCCATTATACTGGAGAGAAGGCAGACATCTCAATGGCTGATAACCCAAAACTATCCAGACTGACAAACAGCTCTACAGGAAAGAGGAAAAATATGTGGTTTTGATTTTGGGGTGAACTGTCCCTTTAACACACACGCAGATGTTACAAATCAAATATTGCCTTCCTGAGTCATATTTAGCCTCGTTAACAGCACAGAAATAAAACTGCTAATCACTTCATCATTCATTAAAAAGCTGTGAGAAAACATATCTGCCCGTACATGTGCTCAGAGTTAGCATGTGTCAGGAGGTATTTTGGGCGTCCAGAGTTCCTAAAGTTCTGTGTATTTTCTGCACAGACGAGGCTGTGATGACGACTGAAGTATTTCTAATGTTCTGACAGACGCGAAACTCTCCTGGTTAAATCATCATTACAACAGATGAGATACTGTGATCGAGTTCTGTGATTAACACTCAGGTACAGGCCTTTTAACATTGACCCTAACCCTTCAATCCCAGATGTACATTTTGATCAGAAACATCTGATCGCAGAGCTTCAAATTCTGTTTTATGCATCACTTTGGGATTCTGAGACACTTTCTGTCCAAGTCATAACAACAAAGCTTTTTGAATTTGGAGCAGCTCTAATTTGTGCCTCTGACTGGCTTTGTCACCATAGCAACAGCAGCTGAGACTCATGGGTATGGAAGTATTTAGTATGATCCACAGTACAAAACACAAACCTGATATTTCACGGAGAAACAAAATATTTAGTCATCATCTCCTCCCTCTTTAAAACTCTCAGGAAACTCTCAAGGTCATTACAAAGGCAGTGGTCATATAGTCCCTCATACAGTTGTATGTCAACTCTGTACATTACCGTAGCTTAAACATTATCACAGAAGATTTAGAGCTAAATTTTACATTTCTATAATACCTACAGATTTAAAATATTGGTCACTGTGTGTGATTTGAGCCTAAAATTTACAATTTTAGCTCATCATGAACTAAAGATTAAAGAGTTTTGACCTCAGAAAGTCGAAAGTCAGATTTCAGCTGCGAGCTGCCTCGTGTGGATTCACAAAGAAATTAAGATTAAGATAAAGAATTCTAGAGTTAGGGCCAAGAACATGTGTGAGGTCAAAGTAACCTTGACCTTTGACCTTCAATCACCGAAGTCCAATCAGTTCATTGTTGAGCCCATGCAGACGTTTGTGCCAAATTCGAGAGAATTTCCTTAGGACGATCTTGAGATACTGCGTTCATAAGAATGTGATGAACGGATGGACAACCTGTGAAACATAACACCTCCGGCCACGGCTATCGCCTGAAGTGAGGCATGAAATCTCACCTCCGGTGACATCTCAGCTAACATTAGCTAGCTGCAATGGCACTGTTCTTGTAATATAAGGCATTCTTCCTTGACCTTCAACCACCATATTTCAGTAAGTTCCTCCTTGACTCAAAGTGGACGTTTGTGCCAAATTCAAGGAAATTCTCTCTAGGTGATTTTGAGACACTGAGTACACAAGACTGTCACGGACACAAAGCCACAGTGACCTTGACCTTTGATCAACCAGATCTAATCAGATCTTTGTTAAGGAAATTCACTCGACACATTCTTGAGATATTGCGTTCATGACAATAGATGGTCAAGGTCACATTGACCGCCACATTCTAGTTAGTTCAATACTAAGTCCAAGTGGATGTTCGTGCCAGATTTGAGGAAAGTCCTTCAAGGTGTTTTTGGAATATTGTGTTCACAAGAATGAGACAGATGCAATGTCAGAGTGACCTTGACCTTTGACCACCAAAATTCAATCAGATCTTCGTTAAGGAAATTCCCTCATGACATTCTTGAGATATTGCGTTCATGATAATTAGACAGACAAGGTTGCAGTGATCCTGTCCTTTGACCACCAAATTCCTATCAGTTCATCACTGAGTCCAAGCGGACGTTTGTGCCAAATGCAAAGGAATCCCCTTTCTTAAAGTATTGTGTTCAGAGAATGGAAGAGAAAGATGGACAGACGAATGGATGTGCATATATATGAATGTAGGACAACCTGTTACAAGGCTTTCTGCCTTTACCTTCAACCACCAAATTCCATTGACTTTATCCTTGAATTTAAGTGGATGTTTGTGCCAAATGTGATGACATTCCTTAAAGGTGTTCGAGATATTGCGTTCACAAGAATGAGATGGACGTAAGGTCACAGTGACCTTAACCTTCAACCACCAAAAACTAATCAGATTTTCATTGAGGAAATTCCTCAAAGGCATTCTTGAGATATTGCGTTTACAATTATTAGATGGACAAGGTCACAGTGACCTTAACCTTGACCATCAAATTCCAATCAGATCATCCTTGACTCTTCGAAATTACCTCGTTTAGATATCGTGTTCAAAAGAATGGGAGGGATGGAGGGACGGAGAGCCTGAAAACATAATGCCTCTGGCTGCAGTTATCGCCGTCACAGAGGCGTAAAAACAGAACCCAAAACAAAAATCGTGGTCCCGTTTGTTGCAGGTCAGTTTAAACACACTGTGATTGGGCTGATTGGTTTTATTTATCAAGGTGAATTCACTCCGTCACCTGAAGAACCAACAGACGATACTCACGCTCAATGTCACTGAACAGGTAGGAGCCGATGAAGGAGAAAATGAGCACTGAGATCGGCAGGGCACAGTCCGACAGCACCTCCCTCACTTTGGCATGCAGGAACGGACTGAAAGAGGAAGGGGGGGGGGGGGTGCGAGGAGCGAGGAGAGACAAATAATAGAGGAATACAATTACTGTGGACAAGACAAGGACAATGGCTGCAATCCTGACACTGCTTAAGTACCTCGGTCCGCCTTTTGCTTACACAATTGAATCCGGCTTTGAGGTTGATTTGATTACTGGGGGCAATCAGAAGTAGAATATTAATGCTTATTAAATCACAGGCTGGAACAGAAGCTTCGACAGAAACGGGAGCTTTGAGAGAGCCCGTCTGGAAACTTCCTTTAAGCTCTGTCACTCCAGACAATCTTTAGACTCAAGGCCCAACTCAGCAGTATTCATCGCAGCCGGCGGTGCTCTCATCCAAACAAGATTTAAACTTCTCCAGTGATTTATCTTTAGAGTGCTGCAGTGCTGCATGTACCTCCGTTTGAACTGGTACAGGGTGTAGCCCATCCATAACGTCCCGAGCATCAGCAGGAGGCACAGCACCGGCCTCTCTCGAGTGCACTGGATGAGGGATTCAGGGAGGGCGTTGAGCGCGAGCCTGGCCACCACCTCGCTCCTGTTTCCCCCAAGCAGGTCTTCGCTCTGACTGAAGGTCTCTATGCTTCTGTTGGCCAGCGTCGGGGCGTGGTAGTACCTGTGAAAGACTGGAGACACGCCCACAGCTTTTAGTTACATCAAAACAACCACTTTCAGCAACCTACCAAAATGTTCAGCCACACTAACGGGTTGGCTCTAAGAACGTTGATGTCAGTCAGTTGTGACTTTGACTTTTTTTTAGAAATATGTCAATAAATATGAGACAGATGGACAGTTGCACAGACAGTCATGGTGCCCAGAGGATGAATCCTGATGAGTTTTATTCTCCAAAATAAAAAAAAAAGGCAATATGGAAAATTTTCTATATGTCCAAACATACACACATTTTAAATCATGTATAAAGACATGATATTCAGGAGGGTTGAAGAAAGGGTTTGACATTCACCAGCTGTTCACAGGGATTATTTATGGATTTATTTTTCTCTTAATAACAATGTATTAATATGTAAATGAGTGGATATTTCTTTAAAGTATGTGTGTTTATACATATATACATAAATATACATATATATACTGTGTATTCATATCTTGTATTGCATATATTCATTTATTAAAAGATTTTTAAAAAGCAGGACAAGTTGATTAAGATAAATGTGTAATATTACTATTTATATTATTTTTTTAGGCAAAGACAATTGGTAATATATATGTTTGTGTGTGTGTATATATATATATATATATATATATATATATATGCACAGATTTAGACTGTTTTAATATATTTAAAGTGGCGGCCCTAGCACATTTGACGAACCGCCCCCCTTAACCTAGCTAACGATGAAAAATAAGAAACAAATATGCACTAATTTGCTTTCGGTAACATGTTGTACATGTGCTATAATATTCAATATAAGTCAATAATTCATTTTAAGAAATGACAAATTAACTTGATGAAAAACACAAATTTCAGGCAGCGGGTGACGATTCAAAATTTAAAAATATAATCAAACAATTCAGAAACTCTCTCAAATATTCTGCAGATTTCAAACATTTATTCTCCTGTAGATCAACGTTTCTCATTCAGTGTTATCTTTGCTGAGTCAGCTCATGTAGTCACACTTCACTTTTCCTACTTGCTTTGTGTCTTTGTTTTGGGGACGTGACCTCTTGACATGTGCACATGAACATATCAATGACATGTTCTTTCATATTAGTTCATTCATAAACCTCTGAACTTGAACAGCTCATCTGTGCTTCAGAGAGATTTCTGCTCACGTCCAGAATAAAGTCATCTTTGACAAAAAAGTTTCACTATGACAAATTATACTTGTGATGTCACAAGAATGAGACAAATGCACCTGGGCTGTCGTCAGCTGTGCATTACATCATCATTCAGACTCTGTATCCTGTTTGAGTCTCTGGAGGAGGCAAAGTTTGAGGCCACGTGCTGCTCTTCATCAGAGGCAGAATACAGATCGGACATCACTCAGGATGATCCCTGTCCTGTTTATTGTTTTTGGACATTTTGTCTCAGACATCAAATATCAGATATTAAAATCATCTTAACGGCAGCGACAGGATCAGAGGTCGATGGATTATAATCCTTAAACATCACACTGCGTGATTTTATCTCTGTGCTGAGCCGGACCCGACTGTACGGACCTGAGATCAGGGGAGCGTCAGAGCTTCAGTATTAACAGCAGTGATAATGTGTGTTGGTGCTTTAAAGCTACTGTAAATAAGGAGACTGAAGCAGTGATGTGTATAAGAGTGTCACACAGAGAGAAATGATTTCTATCACTCTGATTGGAGAGTGTGTGTGTCGCTCCGTCCGCAGGCCTTTTCAGCACACCAGAAGAAAGTTATGCAGCAGGCAAAGTTGCAGAGGAGACTGGATACACAGCCTGAATGTATTCATTCATGTTAGTGCGAAATATTTGGGATGAAAAGTGTCAACAAAATGGCAGAGGTTAATGTTATGGTAATGGCATATGAGCTCGGAGCGTATTTTACAAATGGTTTCTGAAAATTGAACTACTGCACCGGCAATCTCCAAAACAGGACAACACTGCATTCCAAATAAATTACATTCTGCTATCGTCACCTCGTCTTTCTGGAAATTAAATTGTGCAAAATATTTATGGTATACTAAGATGAGGTGCAGTAAAGGCAGGCGTGGTGCAGTATGGCTGCAGGCGGGGTCCAGATCTGGGTTGATTAATTCAGTATCTGTCTCAGCCTCTCAGTGTCCTGACCCACCTGAGGAACAGAGGGACTAAGGGACTGTTCCATATTTGAGGGTGATTTGATTTATCAGCCAGAAACTGTAAAAACAGAAATTATTGTAGGATCTTCAAATTTCCAACGGTCCTTGAACACATTATGAGGGATGAACACTGTCGTCAGAGAAAAAAAAAACACATAACAAAATCTGAACTTTGAACTCTGCAACAGAAACCATCCACCAGGACCTACGGTGGTATTTTTGCTCATTGTGATGTCACTTCTTATCCTCAAATGCTTCATGTCACTATTATCTGTACAACCTGAGCTGAAAGGTTATGTAACGTGTTCACACCCGGCGCAAACACAGCAATATGCGTAATAAATGTAAAGTCAATGTGAAGATACGATTTGATGCGCAATGGACATGACATGGATGTCATGAAATATGCAAATTACACGGTGTGAATGAAGTGAGTAGTGCAATTTCACATCATACACATTCTCGAAAGATGAAAAATCAGAACTTCCACAACGAATTCGCACCACGATAGCCAGTCAGCATTGAGATCCCCCGGGATGCCGAGGACCTACCGGCAAAAGTGCATTCCTCGATTCAGCGATTTCATGCGTGTGAAGTGAGTCAACAGAAAATATTCTAGCTTTCAAACTCGCACGAGTAACGCCAAGCAAAAATTCACATCACATTTGGTGTGAACACAACATTAGTCAATAAATCATAATGATTAATAAAAGTGAAACTGTGTCATAAAAAATATGGAAATAAGACGGTTTTTTTTCATCAGAGTTTACAAAAAAACACAAATCATATTAATCCAAGATATTTTTAAAAGCTGAAACATAAACAAAATATTCCTCAACACTCCATAAGTTATTTAAACTGTGTACATTATTTAGTTTTTGCCATATGCTCATTTTTATGAGCAGAGTGAAAATATGTTGTTTTGGATTCATCTTTCATTCCTCTGGTGCCACCGCTCAGGTTTGCACCACATGTAACGTTACACAGTGACGTCATTACGAGCGTACAACGTGATGATACTGACGACAGAAGCCTTTAGCTCTCTGCTGCAAAATAAATGAATGTTCTCGCTCTTGTGGTTTTTATTTTAGATTAATACATATACAGGATCATGGAAACAGTGATGTCCCACGGCCGTTACAGGGAAATGTTTTCACAGCAGGTAAGGTAAGACAACGTAAGGTCATGACGTGATGAAGAGGAGACAGAAGTCTTCCTGCTGCTAAAAGAATGAATGCTGGAGCTCTGATGATTCTTATTTTAAATCTAAACAGAGTCATGCAAACAACCATTTCCTGCAGCCGTCCACAGGAGGTGGACAAAGGGTTAAAAAAGTGATTTCACCAAAATCACTTTGTTCTATGTCTCCTTTAAAATCTGCCCAAAAATAAACTGAAAAACTGAGACTTTTTTTTCCAACTCCAGGATTTCATCTTCAACGTTTGTCTTTAAGTTTTAGTTTTAGTTTTAAAAATCTAATAAGTCATTTATGGTGGAGGGAGGGTCATGGATTTTCTTCCAGTCACTCAGGGAGGGTCAAGGGGAAATATGTGGAGCTTCAGAGAGGGTCAGAATAAAAGCAGTCACACTCCTCCTCTGATAAATAAAGAACAGTCTCTAATGTTAACTTCTTGTTATCCTCAGTCAGATGAAATGCTCACTTATTAGTTTGACCTGCAGTGGATTTAAATAAGAGGGACTGCTATCATTAGATCAGATAATTCATCAACTGTTTGGGAGATTTTTTGTTGTTGTTGTGTTTCATTGTCTATTTTGAGGGAATTAACTCTCAGGCACCACAATAAGATTCAAAAACACATCTTGTTCTGCAATAAGCACGAGATTTTTAGAGATTTCTCTGAGTGACATTTTTCATCTGCAGAGGGACAATAAAAAATAACTGTGTGAGTTTTTAATTAAATTGACTAAATGATCAGCTGAGGCGATCAGTCAAGAAAATATTCTTCAGTCCAGGACAGCTGTGATCACTGCCGAGCTGCACACTTACATTTTCATTAAAAAGTGTATATGTAGATTATTTGGGGGATTTGAAGGCTTCCTGTCTTGTGTTTAAAAATCAGAGATGAGTTTGAGGCTCACACACACACACACACACACACACAGACACACACACAGGACTGCTGGTGGATCTGACAGCAGGTATGATGCTAGCGTTGGAGGATGGAGGAACAAAGAAAAGCTTCATCTGTCGTGTGTTTAGGAAACTTACTTTTGACTGTGCCTTTCACTGCGTCTACCACAAACGCTATGGAGATGAAGAGGGCGATGACCTCCTCTGTCGACCTGGAGAAACAGAAACATGACAGAAGTGACAGTCAAGGCTGATGTTAGTGTCGCACATGTCAAAATCAGGTGGTATAAATCTATTCATATGAACTGGAATTACAATAATAACTCAACTTAACGTAAAAATAATTCAAATTAAGGCTGGAAGCAGCGATGAACGGGCCCTCGCACCACTGAGCACGTCGAGGGTCCTTGCCAAGTGAATCTGCTGTTCCTTTTAGTGAAAGTTGGACACTGTACGCAGGAGTGAGACGATACTCCCTGCACTAGAAATGACCTGTGGCAAACTTTGCACCGCTTCCTGTGGCCACTTTGTGGTGCTAGAGAGAGCACACACTAACTCTGGGTCAAGTTGCTGCACATCGGTTTTCAACAATACCATGTAAATGTCAAAAGACGATTGTTACACAAGGCTGACTTCCTGTTGCCACTGAATGTGTTACAGCCTAGAGTGTTTTCAAACCTGTGGTGTTTGGGCAACAAAGTTACATCAACTTCCTGTTTCACAATAAATAATGTGGTGCTGTGGCAACGTCCTTTGATGTAATCTCGCATCATCATGGTCTTAAAGCAGTGTTGACCAAATTTGAGGTAACCAAGTCATTTCCTGTTGCCAGTAGGTGGCGCTATAACTAGACCTCGATTTTTGCACCTAGGTTGCATGAAGCCAAGACTTTCATCATACATGACATATTTTAGGCAGATTGGACAATGTATGCTCAAGTTACAACAACTTCCTGTTTAATGGCGAAATATGCATAATGCCACAGCAACCCCATTTGACGAAAACTCACAACTGTCAGCACAAAGCATCATCCAGGTCTTTCGCCTTTTGAAAACAAATTTGAGGTGGATCTAGTCAACCTGCTAGGAGGAGTGCATCAAAGTATAAAACATGTCATTTCCTGTTGCCAGTAGGGGGCGCTATGACTATCACTAAATATTGGCATGTAGATGTGTTCAGGCCAGGACCGTCTTCATTCATGTGAAGTTTGGGGCAGATTGGACCGTGTAGGGGGAGTTACTAACCACTTCCTGTTTCGTGGCAAAAAATGGAAATTTGATGCTTTGCCACAGTCACACAGTTCGACAAAAATTCAAGATTTGAAGTCAATCAGTAAAAATTCGTAAGAGTAGTTTGTTAAAGTATGAGACCTATAAATGGCCAAAATGCACAAAATGCACAAAAATGCACACTGGCTTACTTCCTGTTGGGTTTAGGCTCCAAGAGACTTTTTTTGTAGGTCTTGGGATGTTACACGTGCCTCCTAATTTGCTTTACTTTAGGTCAAACCAGCTATGGTGGCTACTCTTCTTAAGTTTTGTTTTTGAGCCATTTAAAATGTAAAGATAAACCAGTTTCAAAAAAGTCTAATTATGAGTAACTAGAATTACCGCCCTCGCCCTGCATCTTGTCTGCCTCAGCGCACCAGAATTTAAAGAAATTACCTAAAGGTAAGGTTCTGGAGATATTGCGTTCATGAGAATCAGACAGACAACGTCAAACTGACCTTGACCTTTGACCACCAAAATTCAATCAGTTCATTGCTGAGTCCATGTGGATGTTTGTGCCAAATTTGAAGAAATTTTGTCACAGTGTTTTTGAGTTATTGCATTCACAAAAATGAGACTGACAAGGTCGCAGTGACCTTGACCTTTGACCACCCATAACTAATCAGTTCAAACTTGGCACAAATGTCTACTCGGACTCAACCATGACAAAATTTCCTCACGCTGATCTTGAGATATCGCGTTCACGAGAACAAGATAAATGCAAGGTCATAGCAACCTTAAACCTCGGACCCTTGACCACCAAAATCTAATCAGTTCATCAGGTGAACGTTTGTGCCAAATTTGAAGAAATTCCTTTAAGGTGTTCTTGAGATATCACATTCAGGAGAATAAGACAGACAAGGTCACAGGGACCTTGAACTTTGACCAATGACCAACAAAATCTAAACATTTCATTGTTGAGTCCAAGTGGACAAGAAATTCCCTTGAGGCGTTCTTGAGATATCGTGTTGGGACATAAAACATAAAGCCTTATCAGCGCGGAGTCATAAAACTATAAATAGAGCAAAGAGAATAAAATGTTCTATATTTAAAACCTGATTGGTGTATTTGCTCCTCTTCCTCAGCGTCGAGTTGACGGAGGGCAGCGTATCAAAGGAAACCTAATATCTGTTGGTTTTGGCTAAAGAGAGTCTGAACAGAGAAGCTGAAGGAAAAGATCTGAAACTCTGGATATGTGGGAGCGGGGTAGGGGAAGGAGCTGTCACATACAACGCTCTCTTTCAAAACTATTTGTTGTACAAAACAGATGCCTCTGCTGAGTGCCGCTGATTTATGCTGCAGACGCTGACACGACCTCCCAATTTAAAACCTTTATCTGTCTGACGGAGACGGACGCACGCCAACAGACACACCATGAATCTAAGAATCGCCTCTACGCATTGGATTTTATTGAAATAAAACCAAAGTGAGTTAAATTTAAACATATGAGACAAACACCTTTTGAAGAGCTTCATGAGCAGGCTGACGTTGAAGATGCCTCCCAGGATGAGGAAGAGGCAGTTCCACAAACCGATGCAGGCGTAGAAAGCCGGGAAGTCCAGGTTGTAGTCGTCACAGATTCCTCGGATCACTGCACGCACACACAAACACACAGAGAAATGAACACACATCATAAAACACCTGAGAAATAAGTCGTCTTATTAACAATCTGCTACGACAACCTCACAAGTGTTTAACTCCTGGTGATTGATGGATTCTTTAATTCTTCCTCTTCCTACAGATGAAGCAGCAGTAAACATGTCGGCCCTTCACACCGAACACAGACTCGTGTGTTAACTCGGTTGTGATAAGCAAAGTCGAGGCAATCAGAGTCATCATCTGGATCTGTACCAACCGACAAAATTATGTTTCTGCATTCAGATAGAAGAACGGAAGAGGGTGTGGTTTACACCAAAAGTCCTGTTAAATTGGGCAACTGTTGATTTGAGGTCACAGTGACATTGATCTTTGACCTTAGACCACCAGATTCTAATTGTTTCATTCTTGAGTCTCAGTGGCTGTTTGTGCCAAATTTGAAGAAACTCCATTTAAGTGTTTGTGAGATATCGGGTTTACAAGAATGGGACAGGTGGACAAACTGAAAACATAATGCCTCGCTGGCGTGGAGGCTGTGACAGCTCCGGACATGTTCATGAAGCGTCACAGACGTGGCGTTGGTTGTCGTCAACTATGACACACTACACAAGATAAAACGATGGATTATCGTATACGACACTCATTGTCGTTCACGAGCAGACCAATTACAACGCTGCTTTGGGCTAGAATCAGGCTGACATCATGCAGTCTGAACCCGGTCCTTCCTATGACTATTTTGAGTGAGAGTGAGTGCTCTGTATGTGTGAGGATCTATGTCTCATAACTACAGGTATTGCACTGATTGGCTGGAGTTGTGGGTTCAGTCTGGGGGAATGTGGACTGCTGATTGGCTCCTCAAGTTTCCAACAGGTGAGTTGACAGCAGTCTGACAGCAGCAGCGATTTGACCTCGGCCTCCAAACCATCATTATTATTCTCTGTGTTTTTCTTGGTGACTGTGTCTCTTGTATCTTAGGCTTTCACACCTGCCCTGTCTGGTTCAGTCTAACTCAGGTGTGTTTGCCCCCTCAGTGCGGTTCGTTTGTGCAGGTGTGAACACACTAAAACAACCAGACCGAGACCTTCTTGAAGAGGTGGTCTCAGTCCGGTTCCAAAGGAACTCTGGTGCGGTTGGTTTGTGGTGAGAAGGTGTTCCGACCTGGATGTGAAGCAACTGCAGTCACATGACACATTGTTTGGGTTAAACATGAGCATGTTACAGTCCTGGAGGATTATTAATGTGCACCTCCTCCTGTACTGCCTTAATATGCACATTCAGCACATCCAATGCATCAAAACATTGTTTTCTAGTTGGAGCCGCGCCTCGTTTTCAAACTGTATGCTTTGACTAAAATGAACAATGACAGCAATATAGTCCACGATGAGCAGCGCTAAAATCAACCTGCGTAGTTGTCCCTCCATTGTGACATTAGAAAGTGTCACATTTATCTTGCAAGTGTACTCTTCTTCAACGTTTGCTTTACTTCCTGGATTTTTCCCACATGGAAATTCTGACCAATCAATAGCAGCTTTCTCACACAAGGCATTTGATCTGGTCCTCTTGTAAATGCTGCCGTGAGAACACTAACCAACTCTAGGCAATTATACAACTTTGGTACAACATGAGTCCCTGATTCAGACCAGAGGAGACCACTCTAGAGCTGACAGCAGCCTGAGTGAATTACCGATCAGTGCTTTTGTAACTTTGAGAGTATTAAGTAATTTAAATAATTTCCTACAATTACTTTCAATGAACTTTGAAGTGGCGGGGTGGGCGGCCATTTTATTTTGTATATTTGTGTCCTGTTTTTCTGATGTATCGTCAAGAGCCAGATTTAGCCAACGTCTTTTTGTTGTTGTTTTTTAAATTTCAAACAGGTTCAGTCGGTACGTTCGGGGTTAGATAATAATTTCTTAGTTTTCATTTCATGAGTCATTTTAGTTCATTTTTAGTAACTCTTGCACTGACCTTACTCCTATTGTTTCTCTTTTAGACACTGGTTTTGACCCTGACCTGGGAACTCTCTGGTTGTTACTCGTTTGTGAACGTTAATTGTTGTTATTGTAATTTGAAGTGTTTTCTGGCACAATAATATGCTCGGGGATAAATAAAGTTATACTGAGTTTAACTGAATTGAATATTTGTTTTGCTTGTTGTTTAGGTCTCATTTCACCCTGAGTTATATTTGCTCCACTTTATTTTTAATCTGAGTTAATTTTGTCACAGTAAGAAATAACTTTGCCTTAAACTGCAGTCCTGCTGTGAGCCGTCTGGTTTGGGGACCACGGAGGGAACAACCTTTTACACTTTTATGTTGCTCCTGCCCCCCAGACGAGACGTGACAGAGGCATCAACACCAGATTAAAGATTAATATCGATCATCTCTTTGTTCTCTGTAGATACAGTTGATTAAAATAAAAGAAAAGACAATTGTTTCTACTGCTATTTGTAAAAAACTGAGGAAGAGCTTTAGTACAGATGTCTACATCACACACACACACACACACACACACACACACAAAGCATTTCATTCAAACATGAGCAGGACAAAGGAGCTGTACTGCATTTGTTAAAACCATAACAGTTTAGTTGTAATCTCGAGCAGATTTGAGCGCAGATGAGTTACAACTTTACAAACAGGCCATTGTTCTGCTCAGACAGGCTGCTGGAAACATACTATAATTATCCCCATGAGAATGTGCTTAGCACAATTCTAACCCATTTACTTCAAAGATCATCACACCACAAACCCAACAAACAGCTCTGGTATTAAAACTACATCTTGGCATCGTCGGAGCTGCTGCTTTTCCTCATCGCCGCCCGATTCTGTAGCTTCCAGCCGTCAGGACGCTTTAAAATCCACCAACACCAACAGAACACTGCTGTTGGGGAAAACCCATACAACAGTTTATGTCTCTCACAACTGAATATAAAGTTTACATGTTCGTGTGTGCGATGAGCGAGTTGCCTGACCTGTAGGCTCCTGAAACCAACCCTTACGTAACATCAGGGAGGAAAATAAAAAAAGTTATTTCCCTGTTTCCTGAAAAACGCATGTTTTTTGGAGTCGTGCTTTTTGCTCGACTGCACCAGGAACACTCATTAGGGCCATATGTGTGAACAAATCACTGGCACGGTGTTTTCTGGTGAACGAGGGAGCACATGAGGACGGAGGAGTTTGGAGCTGCTGTTCTACACGGCTGGGTGCCTCCTTCTCTTGATTTTTGATGTAATCTTCTTAGTGCTCCTCCCACCCCCCAGCCTCCCTTTCAAAGAGGCCGTCGGCAGAAACTGTGAAAATATAAGTGTGTTTTGGTTGAGCTGGGCTGAATGAAAGAAGGGAAGCCTACCGCTGATGAAGATGGCAAGGGGAGCTGTGGTTAGAGGGATGACTAGAGGAGAGCCGGCGAACAGCGAGTAGATGACCCCGCCGATGCTCTGGCCGATGATGGTCTTCCGAACATCTGGACAGAGAGGACACACAGAGAGAGAACTCAGGAGGAAGTACTGATCTGAGCTAATTAATGAGCACGAATGTCTGCGAGGAAACAGAAGCTCAAGTAAATTTGATTTTTATTTAATCTTTCAGACAGAATGGGAGTATGATGCAAAACACTTTATTTCACTCACATTTTAAAACTCCACTAATCAATACTTTACACAAGGGACTGTTTGTTATTTATCAGGAGAGGAGGGGGCGGCAGTTTGTGACCTTTTTTTTTTTTTTTACCCTCCCTGAAGCTCCAGATATTTCCCCTTGACCCTCCCTGAGTGACAGGAGGAACATCCACGACCCTCCCTCCTCCATAAATGACTTATTAGATTTTTAAAACTTACCCTTTGATGTCGTGCAAACTGACAAGTTGATTTTGGCCTATTTCAAAGAAATAGGCCATAGGAAAATAGTGATGAAAATAGTTTGATGAAATATCACTATTTTAAGCTCAGATTTGGTTATGTTATTCAATTTTTTCTTATGACAGTGGCATTTGTTGCACACGATGTGTCCAAGGACTGTCAGAAATTCGAAAATCCAACGATAATTTCTGTTTATACAGTTTCTGGCTGTGGTTAGTTGTGTATTTTTGGTACCAAAAGTTGAAAGGTATGTTTTCTTTAAAGGTATAATATGTAGTTTTTCCACATAAAAATGTCTAAAAACGACTAAACCAATATTATATATTTTGTTTAGTTGTGTACTTTGATTATCAGAAATGTTTCCAACAATTTTTCAAACCCAGATAAATATGAAATATTAACAAAAGTTACGGACCGTGTCATTAGGTCGCGACGTAACTTCAGTTACCATAGCCATTAAATGAAGGAGAAGAAGAAGCAGCAGACCAGATGAGACGTCAGAGAGTGAACGTTACTGTTGCTAGGCTAAGCTAACTTGTCATGGATCATGATTATGCACTGACGGTTGCTGCACCTTCTGACACTGAAGCTGTCCCGGTAAACAAGCCGGTAAAACGGAAACGTACGGGTCAACCAAGCGATCCCAGAAGAATTTGGGATAAGAAGAGAGCTAAATCAAGGATAAATATTGGTGTGGCCTTTCCGAGATGGAGAGAGCTTCTTGAAAATCTAGGACTACAATTCGACGCCGACCTCGCGTGTGTTCTATTAGACAGGTAAGCAAACATCTGGCTGATGTTATCGAAATATTAATCATTTCCACCAGTGTACTGCAAGCACTGCTGCCCGCCGGGGCACCAGCGCTCCGGTGTGGAGCGGAGGCCGGCTAACCACAACATCTAACGATAGGTTTCTATGATGCTGAGCTGATGCCGGTAAATGAACTGCATTTATAAAAGAGGCAGAGGAATAGCTAAACATAAGACGCACTGAGCAAGAGAGAGCAGCAGAGAGGGAGAAGCCATCGCTAACTGTAAAGCTAAGTAAGATCTGTATCTGTTTTATGACTACAACTCCCATGATCCCACGCTACTTCGTGATGTCATCCAACTCTGTCTTCTGTTATTGTTTTGGTTTGAGACCCCTAGCAGCAGAAAATTACATATTGCACGTTTAAAAACTTACGAAATTAATCATCTAAATATAGTTCCTGAATTGCCAAAATTTTGAAGGCATTTCTTTTAAATCAACAACATTTAGTGCCAAAATTTGGGAAGCAAATCATCGAACTTTGGTAAGGCATGTTTTCTTTTAAATTGCCAAAATGTATCAGGTTAGGTTTTATTGTCCCCAAGGAGAAATTCTTTTGCACAGCACTGTACTTGTTGGACTCAGCATGAAAAGCAATGACACACAAACACTGACACCATCAGAATACATCCACAAAAATTTGGAGGCAAATTGCCAAATTTTAAGGACATGTCTTCGTGAAAACTGTCGAAATTTAGCACTACAGTTTGGAAGGCAAATTGCTAAAATTTGAAAGACATGTTTTCTTTAAAAAACGGCAATACGAATAAATACAAAATGTCACCATCTAAATGTGTATGCTCCTCCCCTAAAGCCAAAATATAAAAAAAACAAATGTCCCTTCCCAGTGTTTAGAAAATTGCTTGCCCCCCCCCCCCCCCCTTTTTGCACCAATCCCCCCCTCATAAATAACAAAGGGAGAAAGGCTTCAGAGAGACAAAGTTCAGCCTTTCAGCTGATTCATTCAGCTAACTTTAAATTAGTTGTGGCACAGTCTCACTTTTCCCCCAACTCGACGCCCCTGATATGCTGCATTGCTGTAGATGAAACCACCAAACAATATAAAGGAGCTCAAGCAACAATGAACATCTACAGCGGTAAAATACAGCATACACATTAATGCAGCAATGATATTAATCTAAAAACATCAGATAGTACTTTTACTTTTTAAGGACTTGAACACTACTGCTGACACTGACTCACAGAGAGTTTATCACCCTCATCTGGAGCTACATGAAGTTTTTAAGCTCCTTTAAGCTTTTGGTTTTACAGCAGGGACTTCTGGGTAAAAACTGACAGCGATCACTGTCGTTGGTGCGTCCCCAGTCAGAGCTCTTTGATCAATATGTCATCAATCTAAAACTAATAAATCAAATGAGGATATGTCTGAGGAGAAGTATGAGCTTGTACCTATCTCGCCACGTGTGCTCTCGTCATTGAGGGAGCCGAAAGCGATGGCAGGGAGGAGGATGGCGATGTAGAGGAAGATGGCGGTGGTCATGTACTTCAGCAGGGTTTTATTACTGCCAACTACACCTGAGGGCAGACAAACACAAACACGAGTCATATGCACCTCATAATGGAGCGGAGGAGGCTCAACACTTTAATTTCAAAACGACACAAACATTAACAGAGTTCATCATTCAGTGCTCGGTGATATGGAACATCCAGCACGTACAGTAACACTGTCCCACCAAGGCGTCACTGCCGACTGCCCTTTTTAAAACAGCTGTAATCTGTTTTGGTTTTGTGCCATCCATCATTTGGTAAGAACAGTTACGGCTTTTATCCAAATGATGGATAACTCTTTGGAATAAAACCCTTTAATTGGGCTCTAATGTGATCACAATGATTTTGGTCCTGTGACCTTCATCAGATGATTATTATCTGATGACACTCACAAGACACAAAGATCTTGATCCTGTTACAGCCCGATGAGTGTGGCTGAATATTATGACATTAGGATGGAGTGAAAGAGAGCAGCTAGAAAACTCCTCTGCTCTACTTTACTCCGTCTTTTTCCTATTCAAGGTCATCTGAGTCATTTCCTCTGCTTTAATTAAGCATTTCAAATCACTCCACAACACAACAAACAAACAAACAACAATCCTGAGGCGTCCGTGGCAGCGACTAAAAAACATCCTGATGGTTTTATTTCTCTCTTTTGGAAAATACCAAACTGTAAAGGTCAAGCAGCGTGTGTGCATTTGTTTGACTGATGACAGAAACCTTTTCACACATGAGCTGATAAAGAGAATGATTTGATGAGTCAATAAAACCACCCGTGTGCTGACACCGCCGTGGGAATGTACAGGGCGCCGTCCTCGCCTGATGACTTGGGAAATTACAACAATATTGGGCGTAGGGAACATATGGGAGCAGTAAGACATTTGAGACAGCCATTTTAGCAGGAGACCACCCTAGATGTGACACAGATGGAGCGCAGATGTGTCCGAGGCGAAGGGTGACAGACAAATGAGGAGCTGCCAGAGGCCCCCCCGCTGCGGCATAATAAGGAAGATGATTCACTTTCACTACAAGACCAGGTCCAGCTCACCATCTGTGAAGTCCGAGGGGTAGAAAGGCAGGCGGCGGCACAAGTCCTCATAAATCCCCCGACCGGCTTTAAAGAAGTCTTTACACTGTGGACAGAAGGGAGAAGGTTAGACACACGGCCTGCTAACAGCAGCAGGTTGCAGGTGACCACATGTCAGTGTGCGCCATCTACAGGCGAGGAAAGAAAAAGCTGCTACACATGTGCCACCTGCAACCCTTCAGTGCTACAACTGAACTTATTTCTCTTTTATAGATGCTGTTTGTGTTTGAGATTTGATTTGCTTCAGAGAAAATGTGTTGGGATGCGACAGAGGAAAAACAACCAAAGGAAAACAGGGTTAACTTGAAGTTGTATTGAAATCATTTGCATATTTGTTGTTTAGAAAGAGCGATAAGTGACACACTACTTTGCAAAATCTTGTAAACCCTTTGGTTTTAGTCACAGTGACCTCTGACCACCAAATTCTAATCAGTTCATCCTCAACTCACAGTCAATGTTTGGACCAAATTTGAAGATATTTCTTCAAAGTGCTCTCGAGATATTGCATTCACAAGCATGAGATGGATCAAAGGTCATGGTGACCTTGACCTCTGACCAGCAAGTTGCAAGCAGTTAATTGCTGAATCCAATGAGGATGTTTGTGCCAAATTTGAGGAAATTTCCTCAAGGCCTTCTTGAGATGTCACGTTTCTCAGATTGACACAAACATAAGGTCGCACTGACCTTGACCTTTGACCATTTTTGAGTCCAACAAGCACGAGACAGACAAAGTCACAGTGACCTCAAACTTGACTTTTAAACACCAAACACTAATCAGTTCATTCTTGACTCAAAGTAAACGTTTGAGCCAAATTAAAAAAAAAAGCATTCTTGAGGCATTCTTGAGATATCACATTCACGAGAATGGTGGACAAACCGAAAACAAAATGCCTGTGAAATTGGCTATCACCGCCAGGGAGGCTTAAAAACTCGCCTTCGGTAGCATCTCAGCTAACAGCAGCTAACAGCAGCTAACAGCAGCTAGCCAACACTGTTCTCATGATACATCCACTGTGCGGCCACGGCGCTGCTGGTTAACATCACAGAGAGAGAAGGAGGAGACGTGATGTGAGACACGACACGTGGTGCAGCGTCATTGGGGAGGATCAGCAGGAGATGGAGACCCCTCTCCTCCAAACTGATGCCGCTGATATAACTATCTTTGCTTGTAGGTGGCGCTTTGTGGAGCAGTTGAACAGTATAGCGCCCCCATGTGGAGAAACTGCACCCAGCTAAACACAACTTTAGTTTGTGAGTGAATTATTTTCCTTATTGATGTACAATGTTCACATTTACATTTTCGCTCTGAGGCATTTTGTTAATTTATGACGGTGACCTCCAAAAAACTGCAGCAGCACAAAGAGCCTGCGGCTGTGTCCAACTCATGAAGTCTCCTCCGTCCTGCGCTCTGCTGCGGACAATGACACATGATGTTTAAAAAAATGACCCATTTGATGATTCAGCTAAGACACTGGTGATTCCACAGGGGGCTTTCTGAAAGCTGATTTGAATCATCACAGTTAACGAGATGGTCCCAGAAAAGCTTCAATTGCGTAATCCAAAACAAAGTAAGCAGATCAGCGGGACCACATTTACATGTACGCTTAATAAAGATCCCCGTGTCCCCAGAATGATGGAGGATGACAGAGACATGACAGCGACGGCGAGGGATAGAAGATTTAGAGTATTTTTAGAGACGTCAAGAGGAGGACGGAAGGGAAGGAGCCACGTGATTCATGAGGAGACATGAAGTGCTTCTTAAAAAGATTTCAGGTTAGAGGAGATAGAGAGGAAGTGTTCGGTCCTGACTGAGCTTATTAAGCAAATTATCCAATTACTCAACGTTTCATTTTCCCGTTGATCGTAGCATTACGTAATGAAGCAGAACGGGTGACGAGGGTGTGTGCGCGTGCGTGTGTGAGAGAAGGAAAAGCCCCGGGAGATTCGTCCCTGCCTCGTTTGTCATCTCAAAACTTTTGACGTTTTTTTGGCAGGATGCAGTAATTCACCTCAACAACCCGAAAACAAACAGCATCATCTCTTCTTTCCTCCCCGAGCACACCGGCTAGTTTTATGAAGACACACACGCTTGTTCAGCATCGACTGTTCATCCATTAAATCTCTATACATCATGGAATCGTTTATTATTACATGGGAGCCCGTGTGTGTGTGTGTGTGTGTGTGTTTGTGTGCGGCGTGATCGGACGCTTTTGGCTCAGGTTCGACAAACAAAAGTCTCAGAGAGGAATTACGGTCCACCTGTTTGCCATTCGTTCTCAGCGGTCGGCAGAACGAGGCGACGGGAGAGAAAAACATAAAAACAATGATTTGGCCTCGTTTTTTAAAACTAAAGGAAAGTGGTGCGTTCTTACTGCTGGTCCTGTGTCAGTTTGGTGTCTGGAGGGAGTTGGAGAAGGTGGAGGAGGTGGTCTCTGTTCTTTCCTCTTGATTTCACCCACTCTGTTTCTCCCCATCCACCATCCCCTCTTTCCCCCTCTCGCTCCATCTGTCTCTCTCCATATATCCCTCGTTCACTGAGTGGCACTGAGCCTTTCAAGCCCTGGGATAAACACCTAACAAAATCCTGCACTATAAAAAAAAAAAAAAAAAAAAAAAAAAAAGCAGGAGGGGAAATGTCTGGGAGCCCTGGCCTGTCAGCGCCAACATTAGGAGGAGATGTTGGTCTGTGGCATTGAGCAGAGCCCCTCTGGAGGTGTGTGTGCATGTGTGTGCACATGCACGTGTAGCTAAAGGGTGGGGAGTTGTGACAGGACTGTGAGAGATGTAAGGTCATTTGCCCACTGAGGAGGCCTGGCAGGAGCTGATGCTGATTGATTAGGGGGAGAGAAAAGATGGAGGAGTCGAACCAGCCGAGCAAAGAGAGGAGGAGGAGCAGGAGGAGGAGGAGGAGGAGATGGAAGCAAATTTTTTACCCCTTTTCCACCAAAATCAACAGGAGGTGTAAATCACCTGTTTCATCACGATACGATATCAAATCAATTCTCTGGACGACGATACGATATTTGCCGATATCACAAAGTCTGGCAGTGTAGGATTTGGACTTGATTCAGGTTCTGCGATCAATATGAGACGATATCATCTGATCATTTAACTCAGTGTGTTACAGAAGAAGCTGCTGCAGCTTTCTGTTTTACTTTGGGCCATAAAAAATAAAAACAACACATAAATAATACGTTTATTAAAGTTGACTTTAAACTGACTCCACTAACACTCAAAACCATCATCTTTTCCATAAAACTTCAGGACTATCTTTGGATCGATGATATTGGATCTGTGATCATTGAATCGATATATCAGTCCAGACTGATGGATCGTTAACGCGTCTATGTGGGTTTTTTTAAACACGAGAAAATCCGCTAAAAATAGTCCAGAACTGTATAAACAGCTCTGCAGCAGAAGAGTACGCCTTTCTCTGTGTTCCTTTTACTGGTGTGTCACATTCAATGTCACGGCCGGCAGAAAAACAGGTTAATAAACAGTAAAAAGTAGCATGTAGTTAGGTCATTTTATAAATCCCTTACCCATTCAGTCCCTCTTTCAAACTCACTGCAGACTAATTTGGATGGACATTTGAGCTGTTTGGACGGAGACAGACTCTCTTTGTGATGGCGTGTCATTCCATCTCGCCGGTTAAGGGGCTAAAATTAGCAGGTTAGTGAGTCGTTTTGTGCAGTGGAAAAAAAAAAAAAACCTTTACTACTAAGATAGCAGATGCTAGCGGGTCTCTGGGTGGGTGTTTGCAGGTTTTTTGTGCAATGGAAAAGGGGCTTCTAGCACCTTTACCACCCAGACGTTAGTGAGTATTAGCCGGTTTGCGGGTTAGGGTGTTAGCAGGTGTTAGTGGTTGTTTTTGTGCAGAGGAAAACGAGCTTTAGGCCCCTTTGCCTCAGAGATGTTAGCAGGTGTTAACGGGTTCTTGGTGGGTGTTAGCAGATGTCAGTGGGCTTTCTGCACAGTGGAAAAGGAGCGTTATGCCCCTTTATCATCCCAGTGTTAGCGGGTTTCCGGTTGGGTGTTAGCGTTTTTTTTTGTGCAGTGGAAAAGAGGCTTGAAGGTTTTACCACCAAGATGTTAGCAGGTGTTAGCGATCAGCATTCAAACTCGGGTCAAATGACTGTGCAGTATTTCCGGGTATCGATGTGCTCAGCGAGATGACACACAAAATACCGTCCGTCTCCACCCAAACAGCTCAAACATCGAATCTAAACCAGTCTGCACCGAGTTTGAAAGAGAGACTGAGTTAGCAGGAGATATAAAAACAAGTAACCTCTGTAAAGTTTCCACTGGCCTCCATGCTGCTCTCTACTGTTTACTAATCTGTTTTTGATGCGTCCCTGACGTCGAACACGACACATCAGTAAAAAAACAAAAAACAAAACACAGAAAGGCAAACTTGTCCACTGCAGAGTCACGTACACAGCTCTGGTCTACCGACGATGGGAAAGGAGTCTATTGCCTATTTTCAGCAGGGCTTCATGTGTTTAAAAAAGGTTAAAATGTCTAAATGAATGTGCGTCGTTTCATTTTTCTGCAGAGCACTGTAAAGAAATTAAAACTGAGTGAAAGGTGAGGGAGGGAGATCAGAGGAGAAGCTTTCTGAAAATACTTAAAGTCTGAGGAAAATTAGTGAGCGCTAACTAATCACTGTCCTCATCTCAGGGCACTGGGAGTGACTCATAATGCCATCACATGAATCCACGCTGCCTCAGAGTGTGTGGAGCTGCGCCCAACATTGAAAGGTTGTGCACACCGGATACACACAGAGATGCTGCTGCTGCCCACCTTGAGGGGCTTGTGACTGCGGGGGTCGGTCTCCTCCTTCCCCAGAGCGATGGGGTTCTGGTTGGTTGCTGTCAACTGGTGCCTCTGGAACACCAGCGCCTCCTTAAACTCCTCCTGCGTCTTGGTCTCCAGCAGCTTCTGCCTGAAGGAGATGTCAGAGAAGAGGGTGGCGAACGTCCTGCCCAGCTCCATCGCCGTCTTGGTGCTTTTCTGTGGGAGAGAATATGGAAACAGCCGAGCATTAACAGAGTGGATCACACGGCTCGTTTTGTTACACATGTTAAACCAGTGGACACAAACTGCAAACACGACACTGACATGTTATAAAACAAGAGATCTGATTGGTCAACAAGACATTTAAATGTGCTCAAATTAGCACACCGTACTCATCACTACAAATATTACTCCGCCATTTGAGCTGGAGCAAAAACCAGAAGGCTACAAAACTACTACAAAATGGTTTTGTTGTTGTTTTAGATTGATATGGTGGACTTAGTGATGAATCATTGGAGGAGGATGAGAAGAACAAGGCAATAAAACAGAATAAAGTCAGTACATCCCATCTTATTTACAAATGATCTAACATGCTCATGATCGACTGTTTCTGCAGCTGTTATAGTTCGTTTCATAAAACAATTTTGGATCTTAAACTCAACCACTGCATTTGCAGAAACATACTGATGTAGGCTGAGCGATTCACGGGATTATTAAGGACCCATCTAAACATTGGTGCTTCAGAGGTGGCAGGTTTGGAGCTTTTGTCCATAATCCAACATCTGTTACAAATAATGCTGTCACAAGTCACAGAGTGACGGTAATAATGTCCTGGGAGGCTGTGAGACCGTGTGCCAGGGAAGCCTTGTGAGCCAGGTGGCGGGGCTCAGCGCGTACAGCAGCAGCTGCAGCAAACACAGTAAGTAAAGCCTTTAAGCTTTTCCACAGTGGTAACTGAATTTTAACCAGAGCTGAGAGGATGCATGTTGATTCATCTGAAGGCTCTTTCTGCATGAAAATGCAGACTAAAGGTTTAAGAAGCAGCTCTGTGAGACTGTGTGCTCTGAGCTGAACGCTAATGTTCTAATGTGGGCCCGTAGATGTGTGACGCTAACAAGATGACGGCTGCAAAGATGGCGCCTAATCATTGTAATGTAGCTGCTCACCTGGTGAATATACCAAAAAAGTGTCTAGCTTCTGGGTTTATTTCTACAGTTTGCTGCCCACTGAATATTTCCAGTAGTGCTTCTCCAACTGGCCCCGCCCACAAGTTCCTACTCAGCTCACAGACTTTACGTTGGGATGACGTCACAGATTTCTAAATTGCTTTTATAGGCTTGAGGAAAATTTTACGAAAATAAAATGCCCATGTATCAAAAAGGTAAGGATAGAGAGAGTTAAATTAGCCCTGTATAAAGCAATGAATCCATCCACATGACGTTTAATACACTTTCAAAGTGATGGGGGGATAAGTGGGAGAACAGACCACGCCCACTTAGGAGACCAGTAGATGAATGTGCAAATCTTAGCATAGAGCCTCGTGTTTCTGCGCTCGAGGCGCCTGGCATTTTTGCCGTCCTCAAGTTGAAAAAACTTCAGCTCAGAGCAGAACAACACCCCATGCCATCTCTTCTTTTTCCCATTGTCCAATGGGATGATCTGAGAGGCGGGGCTTCTGTGGTGGTCATGAAAACCAGTTTACAGTTGGTAAACCATGTAGGAGAAACTGGTGGTAGTGGTTGCTGGATACCCAGAGCTATATGACTTTACAAAGCACAGTTAGCACCATCTGAATAGAAAACAGCAGATAAGTGCAGTACTGTAAACGTCCATGATGGAGGAGAAGCTCCTGGACCAACTGGTGGTACTCCCCATGATCCAGCCTCTTTTTTAGGGTCTCATGTACCCACACAGATCTCTGTTTATCTGCTGACAGCCTCTCACCCTCAACCAGAGCTACATACAGCACCCTCTGCCTCAACATGGCAGCAGCTACACACTGATTACTGCAGGATACACACAGTTTGTTGACGTTCATAATGAATCATCCTTACATACAAAAGTTTGTTTTGGAGTTGCGCAAGGTTCTGTGCTCGGACCAATCCTATTTACTCTATATATGCTTCCTTTAGGTAACATCATTAGAAATCACTCTATAAATTTCCATTGTTATGCGGATGATACTCAGTTGTATTTATCTATGAAGCCAGAAGAAAGTAATCAATTAACTAAACTCCATAACTGCCTTAAAGACATAAAAAATTGGATGAGCACCAATTTCCTGATGTTAAATTCAGACAAAACTGAAGTTATTGTTCTTGGCCCCAAACAACTCAGAGACTCTTTATCTGATGACATAGTTTCTCTAGATGGCATTGCTCTGGCCTCTAGCACTACTGTAAGAAACCTCGGAGTAATATTTGATCAAGATTTGTCTTTTAATTCTCATTTAAAGCAAACCTCACGGACTGCATTTTTTCATCTGCGTAATATTGTGAAAATTAGGCCTATCCTGACCCGAAAAGATGCAGAAAAATTAGTCCACGCTTTTGTTACCTCAAGGCTGGATTACTGTAACTCTCTATTATCAGGTAGCTCTAGTAAGTCCTTAAAAACTCTCCAGCTAATTAAGCTTTTTGGGGGAGTTTTTCCTGATCAGCTGTGAGGGTCATAAGGACAGAGGGATGTTGTATGCTGTAAAGCCCTGTGAGGCAAATTGTGATTTGTGATATTGGGCTTTATAAATAAAACTGATTGATTGATAAATAAACGGTGGATCAACTACACGGGAAGGTTAGGGTGAGGAGGTGATGGGGGGAAATAAAAAGGCAGTGTGGCGCGCCTTGCATTTTGAAATGTGCAAAAATCTTAATGTGTGATTGGAGCCTTACCTGACAGTCTTACCCTGGTCTTACAGTCTCACCACTGGTGCAGCTTGTAATGTGTTATCTTTTGTTTTGCAGTATCTTTGGCTTCGTCCATTATTTTACAGTCTATGATGTGGACAAATAAAACATTTTGACCTGATGATGGTGCTAGATGAAAAGTCAGGGGATCATTAAAGTGATTAGAATTCACCCTGAGGGGAGAATGAATGTGAGTGCCTAATTCTTCAGTGAATAGTTGTTGAGGCATTTCACTCAACACCACAAATGTGAACCTCGCGGTGGCACCAGAGGGAAAGTCTCAGGATCACCAGAGTCCTCAGGAAACATCTACTGGGAGTTTTGTTTAAAATGTGAGTTCAGTCGATGATGAGATTTAGTGGGTAAGTGAAATGTTTGACCTGCTGGAGGCTCTGTGGTAAAAATCAGGGGATGAAGATTTTTAGTGGGATTCATCTTCTTGGTTTGAAGTTCACTAGTTTGATTAAACAGACTGACTGGGAACATGTGGGTGTAGAGAGTGAGTACACTTGAGTGAGTAACACTTTGCCATCGACATCAAAGACCAAGGGCAGCTTGTCTAACTCTCTAAAGAGCTGGAGGAGTTTCTTTGAGGGCAGCAGCACATGCACGTGTTGCTGGGCGCGCTCAGGTATGTGTTTGTGTTTGTGAGGAAAGGTCGTGTCTGTTCAGCACATTCACGCTGGGTACAGAAAAAGCCACAAATGCTGTAAAGCTCTTTAAATGGTGGGTGATGGAAACGATCCGCCCCAACACACGCTAGATTACATACATTTGCCAACCAAAGGAATTCCTATTATCATTATCATCGTGCCCCTTCAAAGATTTTTTCTCTCAGAACCAGTCACCATCAAGGATAATTGAGGCATAATAGTGCTTTATGTTTACTTGGGGCTCAGATTAATGTCTCTGCGAATGCCATTAGTGGTTGTGATTGCTGCCTGCAGGACTGGCGAGGAGGGCGCTGGAAGCGTTAGGGAAAGAGGCGTGAATACAAAGGAGGGTTCATGGGAAAAAACAAAAGATAGAAATCAAACAAACAAACAAACAAACAGAAAACATGATGCAGTGAGCTGAGGCATCGCTGATTGCCAGGGTCACTCCAACCCCCCGGTGGCTCCACAGTTTGATGGTGGGTTGGTGAAAATAGTGTGCCGAGGGGGGGAGGGGCATCACGCTGAAAGTAAAGCCAGCATGAAGAAATCCCTTTTTTTTTTTTTAGCACAGAGGGGGGACACTGGAGGTTTCCATCGGCAGAGGGGCGACAATCAGAGTCATGTGAAGATGGCAGAGTGAAGTGTGTCTGCGCATGAATGTGTGCGTGTGCTGAAAGCTCAGGATGAAGCAGCGGAGGACAGGAGAGCTGAGTGGTTTGATGGGAAGTAGAGAGAGTTCATGTTTTGATGGGAGAGAAGGGTATTACAGGATACGTGGCACTCTCCACCGGCTGCAGCGAGCTCTTCAGAGCTGAAGAAAAACTGCCATCCTGCTCACAACACTGACCCGAAAGGTTCAGCCAACAGGACACTCCAGCCCACGCAAAACTCTGTGAGGACCTCGGATTGGTTCAGTTCAAGAGACATTTGGCAGCTCAGCAGCCATATTGGTAACACTTCCAATATTTAGTGAAGTAAAATATAAAACGGAAGATAAACTGGAAGTAAATGATCTTAAAATTGAGATCAACACTGACAGGTTGAGGCCGCTGACAGCACCGTGTGTTGCTCATCATTTGTAAACTCTATCTGTCCAGTACTGAGGTCCGGTTCACAAAAGATATTGCACTAATTATATCACAGCACAAATACGCTCAGAACGTTTTTCAGATGAATGCAATTTGCCCTTTTTGTGTCTGGTTTTCCATATGGCAAACTGTCAATGTTGCCTTGGCGCCACGAACACAGTCAGCTGAATAGCGGCAGACAATTTTCAAACCGCGAGTTACAGACACAAGCCATGTTTCCATCAGCCTGTTTAGATGCTCATCTAGAAGTATCGCATCGGAAAATTATGATGGAAATGTCAAAATTCAAATTAAAATCCCTTGATTCACACAAACTAAAATACGTTCGCTTTAGCTGGGTTTTGGTTGATTTGAAAAAATGTTGATTCGCAAAACGGGGGATGGAAACAGTTATGTTTGAATTAAGTCTGACGTAGCGCACCTCTCTCCATGGTGATATCCACACTCTGGGTCGGGAAGGCGGTAATGCATTTACAAGCTGGTTGTCAACCGCCAGTAAACGTAGAAGAAGAAGAAGAATGCGAGACTTGTTTTGTTTCCAGTTCTGCGGAAAACTCGCGCCAGTTTGTAGTTTTCACCAAAGTCCGTACATTTAATGGAAACACACAGGATTCGTATTTCTTTTAACCCACATTTCCCAATGATTCCAATCACTTTTGGATGGAAACACAGCTACAGACTGTGGACGAAAGAACTGTGACGTCACACATTGGTTTGTAGACTCCTGTTCTGAAGCCTCAAGTTTGGCATTTAAACTGTCGCCATCTTGGTGTGACCAGAAGTGACCATATCTGGACACTAGGGTGGAGCTGTGGAGAAACGAGCTGCTTGAGATCAGCTGATGTCGCTGGGACCTGAGCTGAGCTTGACATCATGTCCTGCCTGAACTAACGCTACGCTCTTATTAAAGGATAACTTCAGTATTTTTCAACCTGGGCCCTATTTCTCCATGTGTATGTGTGCATATGATTCATAGGTACAACTCGTTCTAAAATTGGTTCAGTATTGAGGGAGGCGGATGCAGCCGGGAGCCGCAAAATGAGCTAAAACGGTAACGGGGGCAAATACGTCCCATATAAGTTTGCGCATTAAAAGTGCTTTTTTTCGCCACTGACCGGTTCAGATCACCAGTGTTATCTCTGTAAATAGCATACTGTAGCGGCCCTGGGGCAGTGGTGAGTGTGAATGAGTGGAGTCAGCTGTCAGTCATTTGTCTCAATGCCTTTGATATTTTAGTTTATATTTTAAGTAAACAAACCTACTTTGCCTTTCTCTCACATTTTATGTAAAAATTTGGAGGAGATTTGGCTTTTATTTAAAAAGCCATTGAATTGTAAACAATTTGAAAAATCAGAGTGGAAGTCATATTTCAAAACTCCCATTTGCAGCCCAACCAGTGGGTGCTTTAATGGTTTAATTATTTCTTATTACTTTAATTACGGTGGCACATAATCAGTGGCTCATTTGTGTTTCCTTCCCAGTTGTCTTTTTACTTTCAATTACAGAAAACATTTTGTGAGCTGTCATCATCACAACAGGATCTTGTTTGTAACATGTGGTGATTAGTGTCTTCTTGCAGCACCAAAAAAACAAGGTTTGGACACATGGAGACAGAAAATCCGCCTGAAAATCAGTTTAAACTAATCGGGGCATTTCGGGGGGAGAAACATGCAGAAGCAGAAAATGGTGATCCTCGTTCATTCGATAGTTTGATCCAGAACTGAGCTTGCTTTAAGAAAACTGAGCTTAATTGGACTCATGACAGGTGGCCACATTTCCTTTAAATACAATCGCTGAAAGCAGAGTAGGAGAATATGCAAATGATCAATTAGCTGTGCGATGGCAGCTGGATGCTCACATTGATCATATGGTGAGCTGGGCTTTCCTAATCCATACACCTGCAGCTAACACACCTAACATGACTGTGAGATTCAGGCACAGATGAGAGGAAATGACTGGAAACGAAAGAAAAATCTCAAATGAATAAGGAGGAATATTTTAGTTAGATGAGGGACCAGCATCTTAAAAATCAGCTGCACGTCAGCACAAATGCAGAAGATGATATAAAGAATAGAAGGAAACATAAATGAATGAATGAAATATGAACAAATGTGACACACAGTCAGGTCTGCGAATGCCTCTGTAATCCACCAAAGTCAGATAAATCCCACGAATCATTTCCTCCCTCTGGGGGCGGCAGTTACCATTTTGAGCGGGGCCAGGATCAGGATGACATAGCGGACCTCGCAGCAGTTCTCCCCCCAGTTCTGCGGCCTCTCCAGGCGGGAGATGCACACGTGACGCCTCTGGAGATGCTTCACGTTGCAGCTGGAGCAGAGAGGGAGAAGGAGGAGGTTTTATAAATGTCAACGGCTCACCTCACCGGCAGCACCCTTCATTTCCATAGATTAACCTCGCTCTCTGCAGCAACAGGTACAGACACTATTCAAATGTGCTGCGTTCACTCCAGCACACACCCACGTTTGTGAATGTATGTGCACATAAAGGAATATAATGAAGAGGCACTCACACACAGATTCATTTTAAAAAACATGAGACCACATTCACATGATGAAGCCGTCAGATTAAATCCATAGATCTTAAAATTCAGTGAAAGAGTTCCTTTATGGGATGAGAAAATTCTCAAGAAATAAACAAGAAATTAAACTGAACACTTATGTAAAATTACACACAGATCTTATCTGATGCTGCTGTCGGCACAATGAAAACATTGTCTCTGCTCTCTTGATTATTTTTTGCACATTAATCCATGGATTGTTTAGTCAACAAAATGGCAAACATATCATTTAGAATACTGCCCTAAATCTTTTCCCAGAGCTCAATGTGATGTTTTCAGAATGCTTCTTTTGTCTGAGTAACAGTCTTAAAGAACAAAATATAAAATGTCTTATATAAACTGATCAAGAAAAACAGTGGCTGACGAGAGGAAACGCTGCAGTAACCCAAAACAGCAGCTGCTTCAGAAACAATACCAGCTAAAAAAAAACACATAAAGTCCAAAACAAATACAACAAAGGAAATATGCTGCAAATTAAAAAGCATGCTGAAAAAACAAAACAAAAAACAAAACAAAACAAAACAAAACCTGTCAACAGCAAACACAGAAATGATCCAAAGTCAAAAACACACAAAACCCAAAAAACAAATGCAACAGAGAAACACTGCAGATCCAGTCAACACATCAGAGTTCCTCCAGGCCTGTAGGGGGCGCACTATGCAGGTAACTAACTGAGGCCACGGTGTCATATTACACGTGAAATGGAGTTTGCACTTTTCCAAATGTTCAACAGATGGCGCACTATCACAGAATATAGGAATGATTTATTTCACCAAGGTGTCTGCAGTCTAAAATATTTCTAGAAGATATGGGTGAAAATTAAAATTCTGCGATTACCGAAAAAGATCCTTAATAAAAGTTGTTAAGAAAAAAAAAAATATACAAAACGTTCTATTGTATATTGGCCACCTTTCATTTGAGTGTACCCAAAAAGTTCTGCCAACTTCAGCACACCCAAAAATCCTAAAAACAGCACACCTAACTAGCACCTGAGCGAACACCATCCATTTATTCACAGCGCCCTCTGCTGTAACCCTCCAACATCGCAGCTGCAGTTACACTGAACATGTGTCAAACCCCATCACTCCCACAGGGTCAGACAGCGTATCCCAGACTTCTCTGAATAGTCTTGGCTGAGGCAGAGTGTGTAAAAGAACACGCAGCTTTGTATGTCGCCTCTTTGTATGTCTGCTTTACTTCCTGTCTTGGACTTTGACTCAAGCTGTTCCTGTCAGTGCTCCCCCTACAGGCCTGGAGGAACTTCAGCTGTGTTGACTGGATCTGGAGCGTTTCTTTGTTGCATTTTGTTTTTGGGGTTTGTGTCTTTCTGACTTTGCATCGTTTCTGTATTTGCAGCCTGTTTGCCATTCATGTGTTTGTTTTGGCTTTCTGTAGCACGTTTTTTATGTGCAGCATGTTTCTGTGGTTGAATTTGTTTCTGAAGCTGCATCATGTTTCTCCTGATGGAAATGTTTGTTTGCCTTTGTTGGCTGATGTATAAAAGAGACACAGGCAGATAGTTCTCACATTAGAGAAGCTACGGCAAATGTTTTTCTAGTATTTTGACTTGATGAAGAAATACAATCAGTTGATCCATTTCTTAGCAACCTGTTCTCATTCTGAAGTCAGCCAATATGGCCGCTTGGTCAATAACGAAAAACAGACATCCTTTCACAGTGGTATGGTACGCCGCCAGGAGGCGTCAGTTTGAAACACTGCCAGGTTATAACGTAATTTAAGGAGCTGGAACATCCCTACAGGGTAGGCAGGAAGGGCGGTGCAAATAACAGTGGACTTTCACCCAGGAGCCTGCTGTTCACTTCCTGTTTGAATGTTGAGCCAAACTATTAAGTTTTTTTTCTAAACCTAACCATGTGATTTTGTTGCGCAGGGAAATAAACATAAATACGAGGTGTTTTACTGACGCAAGTGTATTTTGAAAAGGACTGTATGAATCTAACGAGCAGAAACTATAAATTTCCTGTTAAAACATAAGTGTATTTTGAAAAGACACAACTGTAACAGGCGTAAATTGACATGGCGTTCAAGAGCGTCCATTACAGACACACCCAGGATACCTGGCGCATCATACGTAGAAAAGTCCACTGACCAAGCGGTGATATGTGACGAGATGAGGGTGAGAACATGTTGTTTAATATGATCAACTACTTGAACACTTGACTCATTGTTTAAATCCTAAAGCTCACACGCACACACGCACGCGCACACACACACACACACACACACACACACACTGCAGCTTACAGGATGCAGAGCCAGGACTGCTGGTACTGGATCCCGGTGGCAGTCGCTGTCACCCCCTGGATTGTCTCTGATAGCAGGTGGACTGTAGAAGAAAGGTCAGAGGTCAAACACAAGTTAGCTGAGATCGACCTCACGTCCAGTCTGATCCTCTCACACACACACACACACACACACAGAGCTGAACTCCTTCTAACATCAGCGTCGCCACGTCAGCTCTCCTCACATGTTTGTGTACATGTTTATCACCACATTATGATGTTCACAGCTCAAATATTGATGCATTTAAAAATAAACCCTGGCTGATTTCTTTATGGAGCCTAATGGTGTCAGCCAAACGCCTAAAATGTTCAACTGAAGTCTGGAGCCTTATCTGCTGTGCCAAGCCTCTCAATGTGATGTCTACATCACAAGTGTCTAACAAGCTCGCCTTCTGCTTTAGACGCTAATGCCAGTCTGCTCTGTGTGCAAACACCACAGCACCACAAACTAATGACGGCGTCCACCCAAACCCCACAAAACATCGACGCTTGTGTTCACAGATTATAAAAAAAACACATTTCATTATGCTTCCATGTTTACACACTGCAAATCATTAAAAATGGGCAACTGGGGACTCGGCTGAATCCAGCTCGCTGCTTCCTAATAAGAGGAATCTCCCCTCCGACGTCTCACGCTGAGAGAGATGAATAATAGTGTTTTGGGGGATGTTCTTCAGCAGCCGACTATCCCAAACCCCTCGACAAGATTCAGCGTGCTTTAGCTGGCAATGTTCTCTTCCACTCATCAGCTCTGAGCAAATTACAGGGTGGAAATGTTTTGTATCGTAAGCAGCGGGGACGATCATTTCCATATCACTCTGATTTTCCCTGCCAGTGGTTTCTCCCTGTCTGTCTGTCCGTCTTTGTCCTTCTCTCCATCACTCTGCATTTCTCTCTGTCTCTCTCTCTCTGCCATGCCGGCTCGTCAATAAAGTATGCTCCATTCATGCCAGAAAATGATGGGCGTCACCATGACAACAGTATCACAGTGCTCAAGGAGTGAGGGAGGTAGGAAGGGAGAATCAGAGAGAAGGGGGGGACAGACAAGAGAGAAATAAGAGATAGAGAGAGGGGGAAAGGATGAAAAGAAGCCTGTAAAGGAAGAGGATGACAAAGAGGAAGAAGAGCTGGCACGTGTGGAGGAGGAGAGTGAGAGCGGTGGGAGGAAAAGAAGAGAGGAATAAAAGAAAGGAGAGAAGGAGGAGGAGACGTGTGGAGAGGGAGAATGAAACTGAAAGAGAGAGGAAAAATGCAAGCATGAGAAACAGGGGCAAAGAAAGACCAGGGGAATAGAGGAAGAAAGAATCATACAAGTAACAAAGAACGTGACAAACAGGAAGGAAAATGAGAGTGAGACGAGATGAAAAGACGAGCGAGAGGGAGACAGAGGGAGGGAAGGGACGGAGAAGTAAAGGAGATGGACTGGGATTCAATTCAATTAATAGCAGTAAGCCTGACAGCCATGTAATAATCAAAAACCATCCAATTTCTCATTGACGTCAGGGAGGAGAGGAGGGGAGCGACGGAAGAGACAGAGAGATGCAAACAGAAGAAAAGAAAGATTAAAGATAAAGAGAGGAGGGGAAAAGGATACATGAAAGACAGACAGAGGGAAGCAGAAGGTGTGCGGGGGCATCTGTGGCCCTCCATACCAACAGACCAGATCGGCCAGTGTCAGACCATCTGAGAGAAGCTAACGGCTAACGCTGCTAGCCCTCACATCACAAACACTCCAATATTGTTTTGTGACAAATGTCTTTTCTCTGTGAGACAGTTGGAGAGTGGAGAGGAGTTCAGCAGCCGAGCAGAGCCTGAATACCGTCAGCGCTCAGGGCTGAATATTTCTCTCACTAAACGTGGGAAGCTTCTACAAAATGACATTTGTAATTGTCAGGTCTCTGGAGTTTTGATTCATGCGAGCAGCACTTTCTGACTAATATGTTTTAAAGTCTTCACTTTTTATGGCTGCATCTGTTCGGCTACACAGGGTTTTCTTCTGTGCATTTTCTACTGCTGACCCGAATGCTACCTTCGATTGTTGCCATGGTGATCGATGTCCAAATCAGAAGGCTCTGTTTTTCTAAACCAGTGCCCCCAAATACCCTCAGCTATCAGGCTCCTTTTTTCTGCTACAGGCATGCTACTGCAAGAGTTTACATTACATACACTGCTACATGAAGCTACGTGCTAACCTCAGGGAAACATAACATACACTGCCACGTGTAGCTACGTGCTAACCTCAGGGAAACATAACATACACTGCTACATGTAGTTACGTGCTAACCTCAGGCAAACATAACATACACTGCTACATGTAGCTACGTGCTAACCTCAGGCAAACATAACATACACTGCTACATGTAGCTACGTGCTAACCTCAGGCAAACATTACATACACTGCTACATGTAGCTACGTGCTAACCTCAGGGAAACATTACATACACTGCCACATGTAGCTCCGTGCTAACCTCAGGGAAACATAACATACACTGCCACATGTAGCTCCGTGCTAACCTCAGGGAAACATAACATACACTGCCACATGTAGCTACGTGCTAACCTCAGGGAAACATAACATACACTGCCACATGTAGCTACGTGCTAACCTCAGGGAAACATAACATACACTGCCACATGTAGCTACGTGCTAACCTCAGGGAAACATACACTGCTACATGTAGCTACGTGCTAACCTCAGGGAAACATTACATACACTGCCACATGTAGCTACGTGCTAACCTCAGGGAAACATTACATACACTCCCACATGTAGCTCCGTGCTAACCTCAGAGAAACATAACATACACTGCTACATGAAGCTACGTGTTAACCTCAGGGAAACATTACATACACTGCCACATGTAGCTCCATGCTAACCTCAGGGAAACATACACTGCTACATGTAGCTACATGCTAACCTCAGGGAAACATTACATACACTGCCACATGTAGCTATGTGCTAACCTCAGGCAAACATAATATACACTGCTACATGTAGCTACGTGCTAACCTCAGGCAAACATAATATACACTGCTACATGTAGCTACGTGCTAACCTCAGGGAAACATAACATACACTGCTACACGTAGCTACGTGCTAACCTCAGGGAAACATTACATACACTGCTACATGTAGCTACTGGCTAACCTCAAAGTAACATGAAATCTTGGCTGCCGATGTTGTTAATTTTTCCCAGAGTTTGGATCAGATCCCTGCTTGAACATGTCTGGTTGTGTTTAGAAGCTTTAATTGATGATTTTTCACATTAGAAAGTGCAGCTTTACTCAGTTACAGTCTTTTCCCACATGTAGTTACATGCTAACGTCAGGGAAACATATAATCTTGGCTGCTGATGTTGTTGAGTTTTCCTTGATTTTGGATCCTGTAGAAGCTTTTACTGGTGATTTTTCAAGATTGAAAGTGCAGCTATACTTAGTTACGTCTTTCCCCCGCTGCAGGTACACTGCTAGTATACATGTAGCTATATGCTAATGTCAGGGAAACATGCAGCTTAGACTGGGTTGCTGATATTAATTTCTCCCTGAGTTCGGATCATATTCCTGTTGGAACATGTCCGGTTGTGTTTAGTTTAGTTTTTATTGGCCATTTTTCACAGTAGCAAGTGCAGCTATACTCAGGTGCATTCATTCCCCAGCTGCAAGTACACTGCTACATGTAGCTATATGCTAACGTCAGTGAATTATGCAGCCCAGTCTTGGTCGCAGATGTTGTTTTGCTAAGTTTGGATCAGAGTCCTGCAGGAACATGTCCCGTCGTCTTTATAAGCTTTCACTGGTGATTTCTCACAGTAGAGAATTCTGCTTTTCTCTGATACAGTCATTCTCCTGCTGCAGTGACGCTGCAGAGATGCCAAGATGCAGAAATTCTGGAAATGCTGATCAGTCACAACAGATTGAGCTTTTTCCTGAGGTCTAGTAAATGCCCATATGTGCCTGAAAATGATCATAACCGGTCCCCTTTAATACTCATAACACATATTATTATGTCAGCCTGCATGGTTTTACATCTCTCTGATATAATGAAGCATCTCTGTAGTCGAGGCAGAGCAGGAGCTGTGGAGTTGCACTTGCATTAACTGATTGGCATCAGCTTGGCCACCAGCTGACGAACGTCCAGCCTGACACTTCTCACTGTAAAGGAGCGGTCGGATCAGATTTCTCCTGCTAACAGCTCCACAACGCTGTAAAATATACGGCCTGTAATCAAACCCTGTGCTGCCATAAATCTCTGTCGCTGTCCTCGTACTCACTGCAGACAGGCAGAGTGCCCTCGTCTTGGCTGCTTATTTTACTTTGTGGCCATTTATTATAAAAAATATCTGCTTGAAATAATAATTTGTGTCTCATTGTTTTTCCCACAAAATAATATTGAAAATGTATGAATTTGCAAATATTGTTTATTTTAATAGTTTAACGACTGGACACAAGATGTCTCCATCTGTGTGTGTGCACTGGAGGTTTTTAAGTATCAAACTTGTTGCGTTCTGGACAAAGACTGGCAACGATCACATTGCTACACATTGCTCGTATGTAGACATCATCAGCTTCATCAGATTTAAGCTGAGCTCAGAGAAACTTTCCCTCTTCAGCAAATTTATGCAAAGTCTTATTCTCAAACTCGACATCAGTCTGCACGGTGAAGGTCAAACATCAAGGTGAACTCACAATAAGCAAAACACACATTTAAATATGAATATAAACATAAATATAAGTACTTCCTGAATGAGGTCAATCCCTCCGCCTCTCACAAACTGGCTGGTCATTGCAGAGCTTTGATTCTGCACGCCAAAGTGAATTACTCTGCCAACATCACCCCAACCTCCTCTGTACATGGACACAAACACGTGTGGGACACTGAACACACTGTGTGTTGCGTCATCAGCTGAGGTGAACAAACCTGAGCTGGGTGTCGGGGGGGGAGGAAGGTGTGTGGGTGAGGGTGCAGATGTGATCAAGTGGGAGACTAATTAAGACATGCACATTTGATACTTGTCAGTTATGTGAAGATTTCTGCATGGTTTCGTCAGCTTTTGGTATGCAAACACCGCTGTTTCCATACACAGAGAGGAGGGGAGAAATCACAGATGCTCACACGCAGCATATCAAATGTGACAAACTTCAATGGAAAGTGATGAAAAAATATGAGGAAGGCAGGACTGGATGGCTGGATTGGCCCCTTTGATCTCTCTGGATTCTTGGTGAATTCTTTAACTGCATTATTCAGACGGTTTCGGTCGGAGGGGAAAAACAGATTGCAATTTCTGTAAATCACACGAGGATAATCCGCTCTGTCACAAATAAGAGAGAGACGAATCAATAAGTACGCTAAACCAGTCAAAACACAGCCATGTTAATGTTCCTTCTGGCTGACGAGCCGGGCGAACGTCAGCAGCAGAAAATCCACTGAGATGTTTGGACAAAAAAACGCACACAGATTCACGGCGTCTTTGTGTGTGTGTGAAAGGGCCATGAGTCCTTACATTATACTCAGAGGTGACCTCAATAAAGCCGTCTGATCTTATGCTGCCTTAAAGATTAACTGTGGGCTCAACCATCGGTAGGCCTGCCAGCGAACACACACACACACACACACACACCGCAGACAAAGAGGAATGATTGGTTTCCTTCAAAGCATGGATGGTGGAGGGCACTTTGAAGGAGGTGATTAAAACACAGGAAGGATCCATACAGCAGCGGCAGATGAAACACTTACAGTATATTAGGTATCCATCACAGCCAATCACCATGCAGCACACATACGTATGACGTCACATGGTGGCGATGAGAGGGCCACTAGGACTGGGTCAGTGGTCAAACCTTGTTATCTAGAGAGGCTGTCACTTCTCATCTCTGACTCGGTTAAATAAAAACAAATGACATTAATGGTAAATAAACCAGCGCCCTGCGTGGACATGAGATCAGAGTCAAGCAGCGCTCACATGACGAGCTGAAGTCCAATTATATAACCAGTGTGGAAATATTAAAGCTACAAAACATGCCAAGAATGGATCTGATCTGCTGAATGATTTTAACCCTTTGAACTCAAAGTATTCACACAGACAGTCTCATCAGCAGATAAAATGTGGGCTTGTATGTTTCTGCAAACCACTGATACGTTTTTACGTGCAGGATATACTTATGTTTCTTTAGGTTTCAACAGCAGTGTGATTAAGCTGTGGTTTAGGTACAAAACACACTTGGTAATGGTTCGAGAAATCCTGTTTCATGGCAATATCCTGGCAGGAAACGCAGAGATGTCTTGATAAAAATAAAGTTCTTTTAGTTGCACTAAGTGGATGGAAACAGTGATCTCTGGGTAAAAATTCATGACACTTTCCAGACTGGAAACGCAGCAGTCTCACTTAAAAACATCCTCTTTCCATGGACCTATATTGATACAACGTATAGACCTAGCTTTGAAATGGAAACACAAAGATGTCTTAATAAAGTCATCCACTTCTTGTGGTACTATACCGATGGATACACAGCGATGTCTGTAAAACAACAAACGTGGTACTTTCCAGGCTGGAAACATAGCACTGTCTCCATAAGAAAACAGCAGCTTTAGTAGCACTAAATGGTTGGAAATGCAGTGATGTCTCTGTAAGAAACTACCACTTTTGGCGGCACAATCCCGGCAAAAAATGCACTGATGTCCCAATAAAAAACAACCGCTCATACCAGCATTAACCCAACGGAAATACAGCGACATCTCTGTTACAGACTGCTGCTTTTTGTGGCACTATCCTGGCAAAAAATCCAGTGAAGTCTCAATAAAAAACATTAACTTTTTGTGGCAATAAAGGGAAATGGAAACACAACACTGTCTTCATAAAACTCATCCGCTCTTCGTGGTATTTTAGGGATGGAAACGTAGCAATGGCACAGTTCAGGCTGGAAATGTATTTATTTATTCAAAAGGGACCAGGTACAGCTTAAAACATAAATGTTACCATCTGATGCACCATATCAAATTAAAACTTAGAGCTACTTTGCGTCTGCAGTCCCTCAGCGGGTCAGAACACAAACAGATGAAGCAATGTGTCATTGAAAAACAGCCACTTTTTGTGGCACTATTCTGTCTGGAAACGCAGCGATGTCTGGGTAAAAAACAATCGCTTTTCGTGGCACTATCTTTGTAGGAAACGAAGCGTGGGTTGCTAAAAACCACACGTTTGGTGGTTTAGAAAGCTGCTGGGAAAACACAGATGACTCTCTAAAACTCAACCAGTCTTGCTGGTTGGTCTCTAACAGTGGTCTGCAGGTTGGCAGGCGTATCGCTTCGGTGTCTGACGCCATCCAACACCTCTCCACCTTCAGATGATAAAGTCGACTCACACACTGCGTCACTTTACAAACATTGATACAAATGAAGAGTTTAAACACATTATTTGTGGTTTGCAGAAACACATGATGCCAACAGTTTCTCCTGAGGCCTGGGCTGACTCACAATCAGCAGTTTTCTTCGTTTTTACAAAAAGAGCTGATAACATTATCGGACAGTGAGTCGGCTGGACGGAGAGGGCGTTGATTTGAGGGGCAGCTGAAGAGGCATCGATATCTGTGACACGGGAGGGATTGCTGGTGTCTGTAATCATTTGATGACTCAATGGATCGACCCAGTCCCGAGCGTGGAGAGGAACACAAACGGCATACTGATGGTGACGGGTACAGAAGCAAACCACTGATTGCAGCCTCATGGCGGCTGATGCTGACATTTTCATCCAATTAGCACAGCTTACCGTCGTCAAAGAAAACGAAACTTTGAGACTTGTCTGCGTGCGGAGAGGGAGGAAGAAAAAACCAAGAGGAGAAACCAGAGAGTCAGTTCAGTCACCTTTTCTGATCAACAGGCGAGCAGCTTAGATTCTCAATGATGTTCACACACACACACACACACACACACACCCTGCACACACACACAGAGAGACACACACTCTGTGGTTAACAGGCACGCACATAAATATCTCTGCTGAACAGAAGCTTCATTTCCTGCCCTCCTTTACCTCATGCATATTAAATATCATTTTCCAGAGAAAATCCCTCAATGTCTCGTCTTTGTTGGGCGCGCAGAGATCTTATCTTGATTACCGTCTACAGGCTATTACCAAAAATTGGATTTTATCACTTATGTGTTCAGCAAGTGCAAAGAAAACCCAAAGACGTCAATGAAGAGATCAAGATGAGAAAAAATGACATGTATGGACACTGTTTTTCATGTGGTAAAGAGCCGGAATTAATGCTTTCAATTTAGTATTCTGATCATTCCCGCAGAACGTTACAGAGATTTTCAGAGTGAGACGTCTCGCCGCTGGCCTGGAAGAGATATATTATTATAACAGAGAGGCAGAGTCGGCTCAGTCACAAACACACAGCACCTTTCCTGTTACACAGAATATTTACAGTAGCTCCTGTCAGGAGAGAAACGTATCTGCACAAAGTCTGTCTCTGATTTCACAGATTCATTTCTGGATTCATTAAACAAACACATTGAAGGCACAAAGGTCATGACCCTCAGACTGTAGAGAGGGTCGTGTAAATGACTGCAGGTAAATGTTTTCTTAAAGGTCCAGTGTGGAGGATTTATGGCAGAACATTGTCTTCACCTAAACTCCTCTAAAAGGGAAATCCTTGTTGCAGGCTTTGAACACACATGTGGCCAAGTTTCGCCGGCTCTTATAGCTCAACATGTTCCTTCTGTGAAGAACCTTTGGGGTTGTTCTTCATAACAACCTCAATCTTGAGTCCCATGTGCAACGGTCGGCCCAGTCATGATTTTTCCATTTAAGAAACATCACTAGCATATTTTTTCTTAATTTTACTGATCTTCAAAGAGTCACTCATGCTTTTATCACTTCTCATCTGGATTATTGTAATGTTAACACCGAAACATGATCACACGACTTCAGGGTGTCCAAAACAAGGTGATGGCGGCAGAGGTCCTAATTCGTGATATCAAAGTAAGCGCTGTAGACGGTGGTCTAAACAGCCATTAAATACATCCCATCATGTGGACAAAGAATTCTTTACACTGTATATTGTTACATATTACCGATTCATTCTGCCATTATTGAAATTTCTTCATCGTCTCCTACGGTCGCATCTCGCTTGAACTATGCTGCATTGCCTCCATGATCTCTGGTGGATCTACGGCATTTCATCCATATCTGTGAGACTTCAGAAAATGTGCACAAATACAGACAAAATGAATGCAGAGTACAGACAGAGGACTTCATGTGTATCTAACGTTGAGCATAAATGAGCCTTTAAATCACTGCTTGTGCTGCTTGTTTTGGAGGAAGAGACCTCTGTAAATTGTCACTGAGATTGCACAAGATACTACGTATTAGTGACCCACAAATGATACGTTAGGTCCTTAACGTAAAGTTATGTAATTAACTTAAAGTAAGAGAGGGTAGTCAAGTTATTGTTGTTCGGTTCAGGAAAAGAAACATGGTGATGACAGACCTCAAAATAACTCAAAGTCCGGTTCTGAACAAGCGTCTCCTGGGGGAAGTCATGTTTTTTTGTGACCTGTCAAACACCCCAACCTGACTGTTTCCTGCTTACATTTTTACTCTGGTCAGTGCATTTGTTCAACCTGGTCTCATTCCGAAGCCATCGAAAATCGTCGGCATGATATGTGGCGGGTCGCCGCCATTGTTTAATGACACCCAGCAGCATCAGGGGGAAATGCGGCAGGACAAGGCCAACAGGGAGGAGGGGTGGTGGATGGGTCCAACAACCACAGACTTTCACCCAGGAGGCCAGTGTTCACTTCCTGTAAGACTGTAAAGCCAAACCCTGTTCTTTATTCCTGAACCCAACCACGTGTGTGTGTGTTGGCTAAATGTAACCACGTGTGTGTGTTGGCTAAACGTAACCATGTGTGTGTATGTTGGCTAAATGTAACCATGTGTGTGTGTTGGCTAAACGTAACAACATGTGTGTGTCGGCTAAACGTAACCACGTGTGTGTGTGTCGGCTAAACGTAACCACGTGTGTGTGTGTCGGCTAAATGTAACCACGTGTGTGTGTGTTGGCTAAACGTAACCACGTGTGTGTCGGCTAAACGTAACCATGTGTGTGTGTGTGTGTGTCGGCTAAACGTAACCACGTGTGTGTGTGTTGGCTAAACGTAACCACGTGTGTGTCGGCTAAACGTAACCATGTGTGTGTGTGTGTGTTGGCTAAATGTAACCACGTGTGTGTGTTGGCTAAACGTAACCACGTGTGTGTGTTGGCTAAACGTAACCACGTGTGTGTGTTGGCTAAACGTAACCACGTGTGTGTGTTGAAGGATAAAAAACATCAGTTGGTGGTGTTGTACCGACGTAGTTCTTTTATTTTGAAAGAGACTGTATCAAACTGTACATTTCCTGTGAAAACAGAAGTGAAGTTGACACGGCGTCCCAGAACGTCAACAACCAACACACCCAGGGTACCTTGGACGTCATATGAGCAAACGTGGACATGTGACGAGGTCACAGTGAGGATGTGATGGTTGATCACATGATCACAGCCTTCTAAATAAGATGGGCTCTGCATGAATTACTGGCTCATCATTGAGGGGATATGTATGAAATTTGGTGCATTCATTTTTGTAGGAAAATGTGAACGGTGCATGAGAGCAGCCTGAGATCATTCAGCTTCTGGTAAAAACCTCCTGAACATTGAACTGTGAAGGATTCTAACCAGCAGACGTTTCACCGGGTCACAATTTGCACCACTTAATTTCACTTAACCCCTGATAATTTCACACACTGGACCTTTAAGTTCTGAAGACAAATGAGCTCCTTGTTTACGAACAGAAGTCCGGCTCTCACCTGCGCAGCTTTAAAACGATGTGACTGTTTTTCAGATTGATTCGAGCCGGCAAATAAAACCAAACAAAACAAAAACATATAACAGGAGGATTATGCAAATCAAGGCAAAGTGGAGAGCCGGCAAGATCGATCAAAGGTGACGGCAATTTAGGCAGAAAATTATGGAACAGTCATCACAAATAGGGCAGACAATCAGCAGCGAGCACTGCTGCTAACAGGATCACGGAGGAGGAGAGGAAAATACAATTATACAATACATCATTACTGCAAATATTGAAAATGAGTCATTCTGTGGCAGCCGCTCATCATCACTGTGAGCACCGTCATCATCCTCAGCCTCCTGGAATCATTTATTGGAGTATCTTAAAGCATGAAGTATCATTTGTTAATTAATAGCAGCACGTTTAGTGTTCATAGGAGAGGCTGAGCTCTTATTATTATTATCAATGCATTGCATCATCAGCATGGCTGTTCCCTCTCCCTCTGCACAATACTGAGCTCCAATCACTGAATCCCAAGACAAAAAAACTCAGCACAAGTTGGCTCCTCTGTACAAGTTCTAGCAGGACTAATTATCTCTGTGGGCTTTTCATCTTTTTCATTTCTGTAATTCTCTGTTCTTTCTGTGCCCATTATAATCTGGCCCTGTTCTCTTTATCTCACAGCTGTACAGTATTACACTCCAAATGAGCTGGTCCGCTCGCCAGCCGTATCACCCCGCTGTGGCACACTGAACGCAGATATGGCAGAAATTAATACCTGAAGAGATATGTCCCGTTGATAATGTACTTAACGTGCAATATGAATGTATTCCCCCAGGAAGAGCCTTTGTTCTTCCCCTGGAGATATATCTGTCCCCCCCTCTGCACCGACACGCGTGTTTCACGTGTGAGCGTTCATGATTTTAATTCAAGGATCCCACACGTTACTCAGAGTGAAGGGAATTCACTGCAAAACAACACGCTGAAGAGACGGATTTCAAACGATAAATCCACCTTTTGAAGTGCTGCGTATTCTTTAATAATCACCACACAGAAATGTGCGAGTCAAAGGTGACAGCATCCACAGACGCTTTGGAAAACACACATCTCCTGTGATGGGGGAGCTTAAATTCCTCATTTCCTCTTCAGTCTGTAAATATGTTTCCTCTGTGTGTGTGTGTGTGTGTGTGTGTGGACATGACTGAATGGCTGCAGTACAGTAACGCTGCTCATTTGAATGTTTCAGACTGTAAATCTTTGTCATCCTGATTTGTTGCATAATTATGGGATTGTTACATCATCTTCGGTGCAATTAATTGTCACCTAATTCTCATTTACTATTCTCCCATTGCCTCTGCTGCAGCTCATGCATTTCCCCGGAGTGATGACTCAACCTGAAACTGGCTTTAAACACAGAAGAAAATCATGACTGCAGATTGTTTGTGAGAAGCTTTAGTCAGTGAATAACTTCAACAACTGGCTGCTTTCATTTCAAAAGAAGAAACTCAGTATTTTGTAGAGATGCATCTTATGGATTATTTTTGCAGGATGGACAAAAAAAATCATATTGGGATTATTTTGACCGATACTGTCAGGGGCGCAGCACCAAACTCTGGGGCCTGTGCATCAGCAGTCTCTGTGGGCCCCCTGCACATCCTCTCTTGATCCATGTGTCTCTCACACTCTGCTTTGTTTGTTTGTTTCTTTTCTGTTTTTGAACCCTGATTTCTCTTTGTTTTTTTTTATTTTTTTATTTATTTAACCTTTATTTAGCCAGGTTAGTCCCGTTGAGATTAAGAATCTCTTTTTCAAGAGAGACCTGGCCAAGACGGTTAGCAGCAAAAACACAAAGTTGCAGACAGAGACATACAGGGAGAACAAGTACATTCACAAGCACTAAAATTTGCATAAAGAAAAACTACCAATAAATCAAAACGAGTGTTTCTGGGAGTAATTTGTACAAACAGT